TGTCATGGTGCCTGTGGGTGTGTCATTTAGCATACACTAATGTAATACAATGAGTGTATAATGAGGCTCAAGGTCTAGTGGAAGTTGAATCTTCCACCATCTTAGGCCTAATTGGTTCTAACCAGTTTTTGTCGTATCCTCAACAGCTGTGTCATTCTTTTCAAGGTTGTGCCCTGCCCCCTTCCCTCCTGTCTCAGCAACATACTTTTTTTTTAAACTTAAAAAACAATTGTGGTAAAATACACAAAAACAATTTACCATTTTAACCATCTGTAAGTGTACAGTTCAGTGACATTAAGTACATTCACATTGTCCTGTAACTGTCACTACCATTCATCTCCAGCACATTTTCATCTTCTCCAGCTGAAGCTCTGAACCCATTAAACAATGACTCCCCATTCCTGCCTCCTTCCAGCCCCTGGTAACCACCATTCTACTGTCTCTATGAATTTGACTCTTGTAGGTACCTCATACAATATTTGTGCTTTTGTGTCTTATTTTAGTTAATATTTTCAAGGTCCATCCACATTGTAGCCTGTATCAGAATTTCCTTCCTTTTTAAGGCCAATTTTCCACTATATATATGGCACATTTTGTTTGTTTATCTGTTCATTTGTCAATGGACATTTGGGTTGTTTCTCCCTTTCGTTTTTGTTTTTTTTCAAATAAGTTTATTTATTTATTTATTTTTGGCTGCATTGGGTCATCGTTGCTGCACCTGGTCTTTTCTCTAGTTGCGGTGAGCGAGGGCTACTCTTTGTTTCAGTGCACGGGCTTCTCATTGCGGTGGCTTCTTCTGTTGTGGAGCACGGGCTCTAGGTGCACGGGCTTCAGTAGTTATGGCTCAGGGGCTCTAGAGCGCAGGCTCAGTAGTCGTGGCACACGGGCTTAGCTGCTCCGCGGCATGTGGGATCTTCCCGGACCAGGGCTCGAACTCGTGTTCCCTGCACTGGCAGGTGGATTCTTGACCACTGTGCCACCAGGGAAATCCCTGTTTCTCTCTTTTGACTATTGTTTATAAAGCTGCTATGGACCATGGTGTACAGAAATCTCTTTTGAGTCCCTGCGGTCAATTTCTTTGAGTATGTACTTGTTACGTGAAAAACTGGGTTCACCTCTTGGTGAGTATCGAGCCAAAAGACACAACCAAGCCGAAAATCCGGAGAAGGAAGGATTTATTATTACTTACAGTAAGTAAGGAGACCACTGGGGATCTTTCCCAAAGCAGTGTCTCCCCAAACAGCAAAATCGGGCAAGTTTTAAACCAAGGGCACATGCATATTCATGAAGGGGTTTGAGCGGTCAACAGAGTCCAAGCTTTAGTTGATTGAAGTCACTAAAGGGTCAGAAAAGGTCAACATCATCATCCCTTAGGTTCCAGTTGATGTAATGGTAGAGCGTTTCAGGCCAATCTTTACCACTGAAACAGAATTGGGAATCTTTACAACTGATTTATAATCTTTGCTATTGTTACATCTTGTGCCTAATACTGAGACCTGTTCAAGGACAAGCCTGTGGCCAGGCTTAGATCACAAAATGTCTTAGGTCAAAAATGACGACTCTTATGTCAAGAAAGCTATGTCTGGTTCTCTTTCTCTGGGGACCCCCTACCCTATCTTCTTACATACCCAGAAGTGGAATTGCTGGATCATATGGTAATTCTATGTTTAATTTTTTGAGGAACCACCTTATGTTTTCCACAGCAGCTCCACCATTTTGCATCCCCACCAACAATGCACATGGGTTCCAATTTCTCCTCATCCTTGCCAACACTTGTTATTTTGCATTATTTTTTAAAATGTGAGATGTTAAATAGAAAATTTTTAAGTAAGTTACCAGTGATCAAGAAATTCAGATTTTCAACAGATTTGGTAATCCTATAATTTCATTTACACACACCACATACTGCATACATCATTCCAGGGGGCCAGCTGTGCTCATGGTGAAGAGGAAGCAGGTTCCTCTTGCTAATGAGGTGGTTTGGATAAAAAGCCCCAGGCTATTCCATTTGTGTGTGTGTGTGTGTGTGTGTGTGTGTGTGTGTGTGCACGCGCGTGTATGTGTATGTGTGTGTATGTTTAATTTTTTATTATGAAGTCTAAGAGGCTTGCTCTGGTCTCTACTATTAACTTCTTTTTGATAACCTTTTTTATCATATATGTTTGATCTTGGGATGAAGGTCTGTTTTATCTTTTGATGTTTTGATGAACTGAAGAAGATAACTGGTCTAGGGTGCTCAATCTAACCCTCTATGTAATTATGTTTGTAACTAACTCTTATTATTAGTAAGTCTCATTCTTGATAAACCAGTGTAAATTCAGTAGCCTAGATACTTCATCATCTTTTTGCCTTTTTCTCCTTTCACTGATTTCTGTTCAGCTGCAACCCTCCTAGTTCCCAGTTTCAATGAACCTGTTTTTACTGTGGTGCTCTACCAGTAGCTCTGTGTTCCTTATTGTACTGCACTGATTTTGTTTTATTACTTAAAAACTGATTCAGTCATTTGAATAGGTGAGATGTATACACATATAGATAGACAGATAGATAGTACAAAATTCAAAAGTCAAAAAAAGAGTAATTAGGACTTCCCTGGTGGTGCAGTGGTTAAGAATCCGCCCGCCAGTGCAGGGGACACGGGTTCAATCCCTTGTCTGGGAAGATCCCACATGCCGCGGAGCACCTAAGCCTGTGTGCCACAACTACTGAGCCGGCACGTCACAACTACTGAAGCCTGCGTGCCCTAGAGCCTGCATTCCACAACAAGAGAAGCCACCGCAATGAGAAGCCTGTGCACCACAACGAAGAGTAGCCTGCTCGCCGCAACTAGAGAAAGCCCGCACGCAGAAACAAAGACCCAATGCAACCAAAATAAATAAACAAGTAAATAAATAAATAAAATAAATTAGAAAGTTCACACTGAGCTTTAAAAAAAAAGATAATTGTTATACTTCTGCTTTTCTTCATCCTTTCATATCCAGTTTTAATTATTATTGTTAGTTCCCTTTATATCTTTAAATGTGCTTAGATATCTGTTTCTAGGTTTATCAGATTTAAAAGGTATCTTAAGATTTACAGCTATAAAAGTTGAAGAAACCCATGTGCTTAACCCTCCCACTTTCTTGCCGTCTGTGTCTCCATACTTGTTAGCTATATTATTTCTTGGTTCCCTTTTAATTGTTCATTTCCAACTCCTTCACTTGCTTTTTGCAATCTTATCCTCTGTATTCAGCAAGGCTCACATCCTTGTTGATGTTTTTGAAATTACCTTCACTTCTGAGGTGGTGTTGTTTTTTTTTTAATACTTTCTTTCCTGAGCTCTGCCAGTGCCATCTCCTCCAGTTGCTTCATCATCTCTTCTTTGAACTATAGCATCCTTGCTTTGATCTCTTGCTTTAAAATTCATTAAGCCCTTTGAGTCCTTTGCTGTTCATGATTATCATCTGTTTCATGTTAATTTTTGTGTTTTTTTTGGTGAGTGCCTTTTATCTAATATTTGTTTTCCTTGTTCCCTGCCTCCCCCCTCCCACTTTTCTCTAATATATTTATATAGGTCCGGTGCTATTTATTTTTTTACTATAACTCCCCTTCAAGTGAAGTGAGTTCTTCCTGGTCAAGCTATTTGTTGGAGTTCTGCATGGAGAGGGCACTAGAGTAGAATTCCAGACTGGCAGGAAGTCCTTTAAGGTCATTAGCGAAGCTCCTTAGGACAAGGGTTTTGTGTGAGTGAATCGTTTTAGTTTTTTCCTCTTCCCGGCAGATGGAGCTTGGCAGCTGCAGAGTTGCAAAGATGGCATGTCTGTGTGTTTCCCTGGTCCATTCCCTGCTTCTCCTTGGTGCCAGTGGTACCACGGAGGCTCCCAGAGCCAGCCCTTACATCACAGTCCCAGTGTTCAACAGAAGGTGTTGTTGGTTCTGCCTTCAAGGTGCATGACCCTCTCTGGAGGACTCAGAGCGCTGCCAGCTCTCTTCCCCTGAGACCTCAGTCCCAGGCCTTCTCTATTGACTTGAACCCTCTGTGTCTTCTCGGCACTTGCCGTTTCTTCATTGACACGATGGGTTCCTACTCTGAACACCTTTGCCAGAGGGCTTGTTCTGCCACTGGATTGCTCAGCCCAGAAATGCTGGCAAGTGAATGCCCTTAGGAGCAGCCCTCAACCAATGGGACAGCCCTGAGGGGTAGGGGAGCAAAATTTCCCACCCCAAAATGTGTCTCTTTGGCATTAAGATTAATTTAACCTGATTATTTTTAAGAAACAGAAACCTCAAGAAGTCTTTCTTTTTACCTCCCCCTTAGCTACCTAGAGAATTTAGATTAAGGGCCTGGAATAGAGCTAATGCCAGAGATACCTGCAGAGAATATGAGCTGAGTGTGGTGGGGGAAACGTGCAGGACCTTAGTGATCAGAGTCCGTTGTGTGTCCCATTGTCTCTGCATGACCCAGGAAATATTTGTTTACCAAATTTTTTTTTTTTTCTATCTCCAAGTAGAATTGCCTTCCTCCCCTTTGAAGTCCCAAACCACAACCCCCAACATCCTCTTTCATTTTTAGCTGAAGAAGCTGAAATTTAAAGTGAGGATTTTGGCCATTTTGGCAAATTACTCAGTTTTCCCAGGTCTCTCCCAGGTATACATGTTATTAAACTTTTGTTTGATTTTCTCCTGTTAATCTGTCTTATGTCAATTTAATTCTTAGACCAGCCAGAAGAACCTAAAAGGGTACAGAAGAGGAAAATTTCTTCCTCCCTGACAGAGGCATGCTAAGCCCGTTGGAGCCCCAAATGCCAACAAGAATGACATGTTCGTTAATGTGTATGCCTCTCTCAAAAATTGTTTTTAATGTATGAAGAAGAGCAGATGATTCTTCTCCTTAGTCATCTAACATGATACATCATATTTATGCATTCTCTATTGACCATCCTTGCATTCCTGGAATGATATGCTATTTTAAAGTGTGCTATTGAATTTCATTTGCTTAATATTTTATTTAAGATTTTTAAAACAATATTCGTAAGTGAAATGAATCTCTAGCTTTCTCTTTTCATGCTACCTTTATCAGGTTTTAGTATCAGTATTCTCCTTGCTTAATAAATAGAATTTGATAGTTTTCCTTCTTCTTATTCTCTGGAACAGTTTGAGAAACATCAGGATTATTGGACATTGCCTGTGAAAACTTCAGGACCTGGTACTCTTTTCTTTTTTGGTGGTAGTGGTGGTGAGAAAGCTCTTTTACAACTTTCTCTATTTCTCCTATGAAAATTAGTCTATTAGATGTTTTCTATTTGGGTCACTTTGGTAAATTATTTTTTCCTAGAAAATGACTCATAAAATCCCAGTATTTAAGTGTTGACAACTAATTCAAAAATTTTTGAAAACTCTGTCAAAACTTGCCAGCAGGCTAGATATGGCCTGTAGACTACCATTTTGCAACTCCTGATTATAGTCAGAGGATTTTAGACCTGAAAGAGGCCATATAGATCCTGTACCAGGGGTTGCAAATAGGTAACATGCTCACAGGTAACATGGTTGTGTGAGGTGAGGACTTTGGTGAATTGAAGAGCCCATTCCCCAACTAAAGATAAAGAAGTTAAGTTTTCACAATATTTTAACCAAAACACCATGTGGGTCAAATAAAGCAGTCTGCAAACTCAGTTTGGCCCATGGGTGGCTGGTTCGTGGCCTCTGCCAGTTTAACCCCACTTCCTGCCATACCTCCTAGGTGTCTCACTTTCCAGCCACATTTTATGCTCCCTGAACAAGCCCTGCCCTTTCCTCATGTATCTTTATAGCTTTATTCTAGTGAGACGACCACAGCTGGCGACAGATGAAGTTGGGAGTGTCTACTTTTGAGGTTCCATCAGGTTTTTGGTTCTACCTACCGGCATCCTCTAATGCCCCTCATTAGCCTGGTCCTCTCCATGTCACTTGGATCCTGAGGCAACTCAGGGGCAACTTAGGGGACTGGTGGGACACCCCCCTGTCCATATCTACCTCCTACTGTCTCTTTGGCTTTCCCCATGTCCAGTAGTCATTTCTCTCTGAAACCCTCTAAACATTTGTAGTAGGGGATCTTCTTATATTTTCTTCCTCAAGTCTAGGTCTGGGGTTGGGGAGGCAACCACACTGCTTCTCTCTCTTTCTCTCTTTTTCTGAAACGTTTTCTTCCTGTTTCTTCCTGAGTTCTTTACATCTTTTCTCCAGGTAAGGGGGGAAAAACCAGTTCTATCTCTTCTCACCTCTGTAAGTGATTAGTGTCTCATCCCAGGACTGGTGGCCTTTGAGTTTAGCAATTTAGAGCCTGAATATTTCTTCCCAGCTGTCCAGCTGTCCTCACTGTATTCAGTACCCTTCCTTGGCTGTCAGTCTCGGGGGGCTTAGCTGGATAAGAATGGCACATCAGGCGGTAACTTGAAATCACAGTTTTTCACTGAGGATTCTAGTACAAGAGCAAGATGGGATTTTCAGCTGCCATCTTTGATCTAGTAGAAAAAAGTACTTTATAACCGATATGCTTCACTTTTGGAAGGACCTCAGAGTCCTTGAGTTCCAGTCACCAAATATCTTTTAACACTTGGCACCCCGTTTGGTTGAGGACTTCCAGTTTGCTGAGTGTTCCTGATTTGCTGGTTTAACAAGGTTTATAGGATAGTGCCAGGCACCTACACTCCAGGCTCATCTCCAATTTCGAAGCCTCAGAGTGGTCCCCAGGCTGAGGTTTTGGATGTCCTCACGCCAAGCCCAGAAGCCTCCTACTTTCTTTAAGCTGGCCCTGTGACTCTGGCAGTCATTTAGCTACTTTGAGCCTTAGCCGCGTGCAGGGAGTGGGTGTGAAGTCCCTCACCTTATAATAGTTGTGAGGATTAACTAAGATAATACCTCTGAGCGTGCACTAAACGTTAGATTCCCAGATTCCAGTTACTTCCCACTGCCCTCTCTTCCTTCCAGACTCTTCCAGTGTGACATAAGGAGGTTCTGAGAATAGATTTGTTAGAACGAGGCTTCCATCCACTGTTGGTTGGGGATAAGGAATGGAGAGGAGCTCTTACCTTGCCACTGAGGGAAACTTTGTTTCTAGTATAACTGGATTCTTGGGAAAAGACTTGTGGTCCTACCCTTGAAAAGCAAAGGGGCTGTTGTGCCATTTGCCAGCTCAGGAACCATGAAGAGATATATGGTGTCCCATTCCTGGCAGATCCTGAAGAAGGAATTGGTGAGGAGTGTCTAGGACCCCGGGAGGGAATAGTGGAAGACTGAACAAACAGGTACTTTCAGGAAAGGAGAGGCAGGTGGAGGAGGCGGCCTCGGATAAACATGGCCACCCTGTACCTTTTGGAGTCACAATGGAAAGACTGAATTCTGACCCCTGCCCTGTAGCCTACTCTGCCCTTGGCATTGGCTACACTTTGAGCCCCTGAGGACTGCTCTGTACTCACCCTTCTTGCTATTAGGAGAGTCAGAGAGAATAAGGCCCAGCATCAGGGTAGAGTAATAGGTTAAACTTAAGGACTCTGGAGCCAGACTTCCTGGGTTTAAATCCCTATCACCTATTAGTCGTGCGGCTAATATTAGTATTAGGCAAGTTACTTGATTTGCTGTGCCTGTTTTCTCTTCTGTAAAGGGTGATGATAACAGTACCAATATCAACTGCATTGATTTGTTATTGAGGATTAAATGAGTCAATACATATAATAGGCTTAGAATAGAGCCTGACGATGGCAAATTGTATTCAATAAATATTAATTTTATTAATAAAGCTTTTCCCCGTATTTCCTTTAGATATGTAATTTTTAAAAAATATTATAGTTACAGGTAGAGCACCTCACCATCTCACTCTGTTTCTCCTCACTGGCAACAACTTTCCTGAGATTGATATGTACCCTTCCTGTCTATATTTTAAAATTTTTATTATATCTGTGTGTATCCACAAGAACCTGCAGTATGCGGCACATTTTAAAAAATGGTGTCATAAATGGCATCTCATTTCACCTTTTTTCCACTCAAAATTGTGTGAGCTTTACCCGCATTGACACACACTCTAGTGCCATGTCCAGTCCCGTGACTCTACCTGATGTATTTTTCTTATTTGTCCCTAAAACGTCTTTTACAGCTTGTTATTATGAACCAGGAGCCAATCAAGGTTCATATTTTGCATTTGTTTGTATGTCTCTCTTTTTTTTAAAATAAATTTATTTATTTGGCTGTATTGGGTCTTTGTTGTTGTGCGTGGGCTTTCCCTAGTTGCGGCGAGCGAGGGCTGCTCTTCGTTGTGGTGCGTGGGCTTCTCATTGTGGTGACTTCTCTTGTGGAGCACAGGCTGTAGGTGTGCAGGCTCAGTAGTTGTGGCTAGCGGGCTCTAGAGCGCAGGCTCAGTAGTTGTGGTGCACGGGCTTAGTTTTTCCACGGCATGTGGGATCTTCCCGGACTAGGGCTCAAACCCATGTCCCCTGCATTGGCAGGTGTATTCCCAACAACTGCGCCACCAGGGAAGCCCTGTTTGTATGTCTCTTGAGTATTAGTCTAGAACAGCCCCCTCACTTTGTTTTTTTCCTCATGCAACTGACCTTTATTTTAAATAAATTTATTTATTTATTTCTTATTTATTTTTGGCTGTATTGGGTCTTCGTTGCTGTGCGCGGGCTTTCTCTAGTTGCAGCAAGTGGGGGCTACTCTTCGTTGCAGTGTGCGGGCTTCTCATTGCCATGGCTTCTCTTGTGGCGGAGCACGGGCTCTAGGTGTGCAGGCTTCAGTAGTTGTGGCACGTGGGCTCTAGAGCTCAGGCTCAGTAGTTGTGGTGCACAGGCTTAGTTGCTCCGCGGCATGTGGGATCTTCCCAGACCAGGGCTCAAACCTGTGTCCCCTGCGTTGGCAGGCGGATTCTTAACCACTGCACCACCAGGGAAGCCCTTGCAACTGACTTTTTGAAGAAACTGGGTTAGATGACTTGTAGATTGTTTTACATTCTGGATTTGTCTCTTTGGTGTTGAACTTGTTTCCTTGTCCCTTATATTTACTTGGCAGGTGGAGGGTGACTGCCCTTACTCCTCAATTCATATTGGGATGGAGAGGCTGATTTGTTCTCAGCTCCAGTTCCAAATTCCCAGGGAAAAGATAGGATGGCTTATCTTGGATTAGGTGTTATATTAGTTTTCTTTTGACTGCTGTACCACAATTTAGTGGCTTAGAACAGCACACATTGGGACTTCTCTGATGGTCCAGTGGTTGAGACTCCGTGCTTCCAGTGCAGGGGACACAGGTTCGATCCCTGGTTGGGGAATTAATATCTTGCATGCTGCACGGCATGGCCAAAAAATAAATTAAAACAAACAAACAAACAAACACACATTATCTTCTGGAGGCTAGAAGTCTGGCACGGGTTCAAATCCAGGTGTTAGCAGGGCTGTGTTCCTTTCTCGAGGGTGGAGGGAAGAATTCATTTCCTTGACTTTCTGTCTTCTACAGACCACCACATTCCTTGACTCATGGCCCTTTCTCTGCCTTCAAAGCCAGCATTGTTGCATCTCTCTGCCCATTCTTCCCTCAGATGCATCTGATTCCATCATGCAGGCTCTTTACATCACCCCTCATGGCGTGCCGTTACTTGTGCACATTATTTTCTGGACCCAAGTGAAGGACTTCACAGTTAACTAAAGCTGTGCTGGTGAATGCTTTAATAGGCTCCTGGGGAGGGATATGCCCCCATTTGTAGTAGTTGCCAGTTTCTGTGGCATAAATACTCCCACCATGGCCAATTTCAAGCTACCAATATGATTTCAACAGGCTTGAAAACTTCCTAAAGATGTAACTATGGTTCCAGCAACAACACTGCATTTAATCCTATTACATTTCACCTTGTTCACACTATCCAGCCTGCTGTTGACTGTTGAAAACAGATGGTTTCCACAGATCTTGTTTGTTTTGTTTCCACAGGGGCTGTACCAGCTCACCATGGATATCATTAGGATGAACCGAGTGTGTAGAATGTTCCGCCAAGGCCTCAGGGGACTTCGGGAATATCAGATCATTGAGACTGCTCACAGAAAGCACCCTATCTTCTCTTTCTGGGATGTAAGCTGCTGGGCTTAGCAGGTTTATACACAGTTTAAAGGGGTCCAATAAATAGCACCTCACTTCCCAGCCCAAGTTCTGAATCAACTGAGAGAGAAGACAAAGGGTAAAGCAGATGGGAGACTGAGCTGTCACTTTTATTAATGACAAAACTTATATTGGAGAAGCTGACGGGTGTCATTAAGCCAGAGGGTTACCTAATACTAAACCCCAGAGTTGGACAGCCTTATCGACGACCCTAGTCACAGGCAGTGCTGGACCAAGGCAGGCATTCACTGCAGTAGCAGGGTCTCCTGCCCTACACTCACAGCAGGGAAGGGCAGAGCAGAATGTGGGCTTGGAGGGATGGAGAAGGGGATGATCATGCCCGGTTTCTCCTTCCAAATTCACCAAAGAGTTTAAGTCACTCCTTCCCAGTGTGAAAGGAGAGGGGCTAGTAGTGTTCTGCTAGTACAACTCCCTTCACGTAGAGAGAAACATCAAGAGTGGGGAAGAAGCCATCTCCATTCCAAGGGTGATCAAAACAGCCAGAAGAAATCCAGGAGCCACAGTGGAGCCAGGATTTCCCGAATACCTACCAACTGTTCATCGTCTCTGCCTTCTTTCCTTCCCCCCCGCCGACCTAGACAAGAAGGGAACATTTGCAGGGCCTCTCTGGTGACCTTGCTTTCTAGATTTTCTGGAAGGTCCCAATTTCAAATATTTTATCCCAGTGGTAGATCCTGAGCCCCTTTTTGGCTCAGAAAAGTTGATCACCCTTCTGTTAACTTGTTCTGGGTCCCCAAGGGTGTCTTCATTACTATCCAGGGCTCCAAAGTTTCCCCAGCCAATAACTAGACAAACCCTGCCCAGATTCCTATTGTGCCAGCCGCACCTCCCCACTGCATCCAGCAATTGCCTCGAAAATATTTCCCAGAATGGTTTCTGAAGCCTAGCAGCCAAGGAGAGGGGCGTGGAGGGGTGGTGATGGGGAAAGGAAGGTGTCTTAGGTTGGTTTCTAAGGGACCAGCAGCTAATGTAACTGTGTATATGTGGCTGAGTTTAAGACGAAGCAGGAAGTAGGCACCTGGGGGCAGCTTGAGGGGAAGGGCTTGCCCCATCTAAAGACATTCAAATTCATATATTTTTAAGGCATTTTGGTGGCCAAACCAAACAAATCTGCAGCCAGATTCTGCCCTGTTATTGGGCCGAGAGATGAGAAGCGTTGGAGCAGGAGCCTCGTAACCTCAGGAGGGACCTTCTGACTCAGGGTGTCACGCAGTGGTGAAGCGAAGGGCCCTGGAGACCAGGAGTCTGTGGTTACCAGGAGACCTGGGTTGGTGCCTGGGCAGCTGGAAGCTGAAGACCAGTGTCAGGCTTGTCATCACGGGAGTGTGAGGCTAAACCTAACAACATCCTGCTTTGTCAGGATGGCCTTGAGCGGAGCAGAGCTTCTCAGGGACAGCCTATGGGGGTCATATGGCTTCCGGGCAGGGAGCCGGGGGGTTGGGGCATAGTGTCGGGCAGAGAGAGCCGTAGACTGGTTTTCAGTGGAGTATGTGAATCCAGATCTTTCTGAACATCACGTCTTTCTTTCATTGGCCTCTCTGAGAAGCACCACATGGATGTATAAACTATAAATGGAGGGAGGGGACAGGGAACCGAGTGGGCTCTGGGGAAGGATGTGAGGTGTGCCCAGAGAGATGAATGGGGGTCCTGGTTTGCCCCAGGATGCTGTTCAGGGCCTTGTTTGTCCCTTTCCTCCCCTGCTACTCCCCCCTACATATCTTTTTCCTCTCTCTCTGCCCCTTTCTCTACCCTTTCCACATCCTCTCTGCATCTGCTAGGAAACAGGGTTGAATTAGTTCATCCCTAAGACCTCTTCTTCCTGGCCATCCTTCAGATGAGGACCATTTCCTCACTGTGTGATTTTTGGGCAACTTCCTTCACCCACTTCAGGTCCTCAGTGGAGCTGCTCAGTAGTACCTGCTTTGTCCTGATGATGAAATGGAATAAGATAAGCCATGCCGGGCTTCCCTGGTGGCGCAGTGGTTGAGAGTCCGCCTGCCGATGCAGGGGACACGGGTTCGTGCCCTGGTCCGGGAGGATCGCACATGCCGCGGAGTGGCTGGGCCCGTGAGCCATGGCCGCTGAACCTGCGCGTCCGGAGCCTGTGCTCTGCAACGAGAGAGGCCACAACAGTGAGAGCCCCGCGTACCGCAAAAAAAAAAACAAAACGATAAGCCATGCCTGGCTCATTATAGGCACTTAATGAAGGTTGGCTTTATTTGTTCCTTCCTCTTTATCCCTCTTTCTTTTCTCTATACTTTCCTTTTTTTTTTTTTTTTGCTTCTTTTCTCTCTCCATCCTTCTTCTCTTTATCCTCCTTTCCCTCTCCCCACCCCTGTCTTTCTCTGCCTCCATAATAATACATTGTCAATGCTGGGCCCAAGTCTTGTGTGGAGCTGGGGCTTTTGAGCGGAGGTGGACATGAGAGGCCCAGCTGATAGGAGGTTTCCCAAGGCTTCCTGCCTACCACAGTGGCCCAGGTACACAGAAGGGTTTCAGTGCAAAATTCTAGAAACAGTCTTGCTGATTCTCCTTCCTCTCCTCAGCCCCCCTTCCTTTTTTTTTCCCCCAGAAAAAGAAACAAGGCCGAATCACATTTGATACTATGGACTTCATTGGAGAGTCGGTATGTATAGACAGCTCTGACCTTGCTGCTGGGATTTTTTTTTTTTTCTTGCATCATAGCCTGAAAGAAGCCCTGGGCTGGGTATCAGGATAGCTGGGTTCAGACCAGGTTCTGCCACCAACCCAGTGTGCCACCCTGAGCTAGCCACTTAGTTTCCTCACCTATAAAATAGCTGATCTTGGTGATCCCTTTCAGTTCTGGCATCCCAAGACTGTGAGCCTTCCCCCCACCACCACCCAGCCAACCCCCAAACCCATTGTTGCTTTATAGCCGAGCAGAACCAGCACGGGAGATCGCCTGTGCTTGGACCAGTGGGAAAACCGTAGAAGGCAAAGGAGAGGATGTGAGAGCCCCAGACAGAAGAGAAATAATCAGGGTGGTGGCAAAAGCACTGGCCTGTGTCTGAATTCTGGCTCTGCCCGAAACTTTCTGATGGATGCTGGGCACATCTGTCTCTCACCTGTGCTCAGGTGGCCACTCTGAGAAGGGAATGCCTTCATGTCATTTGCACTGTGTGATTTGTTCTCCGAATTTCAAGCATTATTATCTTCCTGGCTTCTCCCCACCAAATCCTGGATATTAAATTAAAATTTAAAATTTAATTTAAATTTTAAAGGGGCTTCCTTATTTATAGGGAAGATCTGAAGTTCTCACCAATGTAGACCTGACTTGACCCTGGCCTGGAGCAGCCATGCTGGGTTTTCTCTAGGAAAAGCAGGGAGAACAGAGCTTTATAACTGGTACCAGGACCACCTGTGCCACGCTGCTGCCTCCTTCTCCTTTGGAACCAAGGTGTGGCTTCTGCTGACTGCCTCCCCTGGGCATACTAATTTCTCATGCCGCATTATATATGAAGCACAGTAAAGTCCTCCAAATTCTGAGTTTTCTTCAGTTTTCGAGACCAGCTAGTGTCTGACACTGTGCCCTGAAGGTTACCCAAGTTTCACCCTTCAGACAGGAGAAACTAGGGGTCTCTCTGAGAGCCACAGAGCTCTGGAGATGGAGGCAATTCTGTGCGTAGCAACAGAAGGAGAGAGGCGAGTACAGAGGAAAAGTCCATCATATAGGCAAGGCCTCTCTGCCTTTTGAATGAGTTATCACTGGCTCTGTCTCCAGCACAGAGATGGAGAGTAGAGACCCGATTTAAAAACCTGCCCTTTGAGTGACTGCGAATGGGTACCAGGTTTCTTTCTAGGGTGATTAAAAGGTTCTAAAACCCACTGTGGTGATGTACTACTCTGTGAATACACTAAAAATTGATCTGTGCACTTTAAATGATGAAATCATTATGTTATGTGAATTACGTCTTGATCAAGCTGATACACACACACACACACACATTTATACATATATAAGCTGTCTCTCAGACAACACTGGAAAACTCAACTTCCATATAGTCTACTAATGCTAACCTTCTCAGAAAGAATCCTAAGAATTATAGAGGCTTAGAATCATAGACTCATTTATTATAGCATTTGTGAGACATTGGAAACAATGGGTACATTTCTAAAACATGGTTTAAAAAAAATATTGAGTGAAAAAAAGGCAAGTTGCATAAACGATGTCAGCAGTCTAACATTTATGCAAATAAAAATAAAACAATTCTATACATATTCTGTGGGCACACGTATAAGTATATAATAATATATATAAATGGTTAACTCTGGTGGTGGAGAGCAGGTCTGGGTTACTGGTGACATGGTACAAGGGGATTTTAACTATATATATTGTTCTGATTTTTAATGGAAAATAGTCATGTATTATGTGATTTTCAAAAATTTTATTTATGCATAAGAAAAAGGCAGGAAACAAGAATGCTGCATGTAAATGGCTTGTTCTGGGTGGTAGGATTATGGGCAGCCCCTCTTATTTTCCTTTACCCTTCCTGTATGCTAGATGAACACAATGAGGAGATGGCTGGCCTGAAGTGAGTGAGGGTGACAGCGTTGAGAAATGGTGTGTGAGAAACAGGCAGGGCTCTGTTTGAATACTATTCCTTTTTCCCCATTCCAGATATTTTTATGAGCTCCTAAGGTAGGCCTAGATCTGTGTCTGGTGGTGGGGAATACAGACAGCTGTCTGTATCTGCAGGTTCCACATCCGTGGATTCAACTGACCACGGATAGAAAATATTCAGAAAAGAAAAATTCCAGAAAGTTCCAAAAAGCAAAACTTGAATACTGCTTGCAGACAGCAACTAGTTATTGTATTTGCAACTATTTACATAGTATGTACATTGTGTTAGGTATTATAAGTAATCTAGGGATGATTTAAAGTATACAGGAGGATATGCAAATGCTACAGCATTTTAGATAAGGGACTTGAGCATCTGCAGATTTTGGTATTGGCAGGGGTCTTGGAACCAATCCTTCCTCCCCACCTTGTGGATACTGAAGGACAAGGATGACTGTGCTAGGTTGTGTAACATTCGCACCTTCCCTTAAGGAGCTAATTAGGAGTTAAGGAGATGAAACTTACCCAGGAAGTTAATAACAAACTGTCACTTTTGTAGAAATCCACAGAAGGAGTCTCAAGGGTTAGGGGTGATTAGAAGGATTTCCTGGAGGAATTAGGGCCCTAAGTGGGCCTGAAAAATAAGTTTGGTTCATAGAAGCCAGAGGCATCTGTTTTGCCATAAATAGACCCTATGATAGAAATCCTAATGGGTTATTGATAGTAAGAGAGAGAAAGGAGAAAGATTGGATTCAGACCATAAAAAAGACCAGCACTTCCATAGCCCTTGCTCTGTGCCATGCACATTGTAAGCCCTTGACACGTATTAACCCTGCTATGTGTACGTATCGTTTCTGTTATCATCAGGTAGGGAAACAGGGGCTCCGGGAGAAGAGACTTGTGCCAGGACACACAAATGGGAAGTCGCAGGACAAAGTTCAAACCTAGGCACCTGGCAGCAGAGCCTGTGTGCTTTTAACCACTGTGCTACACTGTCTTTCCGTCTGTTGTGAAGATCAGAATTCTGCATCATGTCCCACTTTCCTTTTGCTTCTATGACGGTTACTGTTATGTAAGACTGCCGATGTTCATTCCTTCCTTCCATAAATATGTATTTTGTTGAGTGCCCACTACAGATGAGACATTATTCTAGAGTGGGAAACAAGGTAGACAAGGCCACTATCGTGTTTATATTGGAGCTTATATTCTAGAGCACCTTTGTCCGATGGAACTTTCTGTGACCATGGAAATGTTTAGTAGTCTGCATTATCCAAAACAGTAGCCAGCAGACACATGTAGCTACTGAACCCTTGTCGTTAGTGTGACTGAGGGGCTTATTTTTTATCTAATTTAATTTAAATTTAAGTAGCCACATGTGGCTGTTGGCTGCCATAGTGGACAGTGCAGTTCTACACGTGTGTGTGTGTGTGTGTGTGTGTGTGTGTGTGTGTGTGTGTGTGTGTAGGGTGGGGAAATGACAGATAATATCCACATTAACCAAAAAAGAATAAGGTCATTTCAGAAAGTATTAAATGCTTTGAAGAGAATGATTCATAGCTCACAGAGTGCTGGGAAGGGGGCCTGCTATTTTAGCTCAGATGATGCAGAAGGAACTCCCTGAGGATGTGGCACCATATGAGCTGAGAGCAGAATGAGGAGGAGGAGGCGGCAGCCATATCCATGTGAAAACCCAGGGGAAGAACATTCTGGGCAGAGGAAACAGCCCAAGCAAAGATCTAAAGACAGAAGTGAGCTTGGCATGTGCAAGAGATGGGTAGAAGGCTAGAGAATGAGGGGAGAGGCAGGAGGAGAGGTTGGAGGGCAGTAGGCAGGTAGGGAGTCAGACCATGTGGGGCCCCAGGCTGTGGTAGGAGTTAACATTTTCTCCTAAGTGCAACGGGCAGCCAGGGAGGGGTGTTAACAACTCACGGTGCCATTTCCCCGGCAGGTAGGCGTGGTGAGCGAATGGGTAGATCTGCCCGCCCCCTGGTCCACGAGTCCTGGCTGCTGAGGGTTAGCTAAGAGTCTCTGTAGGCTCTCTTTGTTCCTTAGGCTCCCGGAGAACGCTGAGGTATAGGCTGAGGCAGGGGAGGTCTCCCCTGACTGAAGTGTGTCAAAGGGCCCTTGGAGCCCAGGGAGCCCCACTATTGACTTGGGGGCGTGGTCAATGAACAGCAGAGGTAGTATGATCAGTAGCTGGGGATACAGGCCTTGGCAGGTAACAAATCTAGGTAATAATCCTGCCTGAATGTCGTCATCTGTCAAAGGGGATAATAATCGTGCGTCGCTTCTTTAGGTAAAGATTCAATGAGACGGCGTGTGTAAGTTGCCTATCCCGATGCCTGGCACACAGGAAGCACTCATTACATGTCAGCCACTATTGTATGGGGAGTGGGCAAGTGTGAAAGAAGGACTGTGGGGAGTTGCCTGCTAGCCCCTGGGGGAAACTGCTGGGCCCTCTGTGTCACTTTGGCTCTCTCTTTCCAGGAGCACTTCCCTCCAAGGGCCATTCAGATCACGCAGAAGAAGCCCGCTTGGAGGACAGAGCGCGAGATCCAGTCCCTCTGTAACCTCCTGCAGGTTCTGGATAGTTACCAGAACTACTCGGAGCCCCTGCAGCTGCTCCTGGCCAAGGTCATGCGCTTTGAACGGTCAGTGAGGGGCACATCCCTTGGCCCCTGGGCTGGGGCTGGGCTGGGCAGGGCAAGAAGGGCCCGGCTGCAAAGGCCACGGCGGGTCTACCAGCCCCTCTGCGGGGTGTCAGCCGTGAGAAACCTTCTGTCACTTCACCTTGGTGCTCACCGTTATGACTGCAGCCCACTGTGTCTCAGCCATTCATTGAGAATCTACCCAGAATTAAGGAGTCACTGAGTCTGGAGAGGATCTGGTTGGAACCTCAGAAAGGATCTAGTCTAATTCCCTCATTTTTCAGATAAGGAAACTGAGGCTCGGGGGGGAAATTAGTCATCCTAGTTCACCCAGAAAATAGGTAGCAGAGCCGAGACTCAAATCCAGGCCCTAAAAGCCAGAAGGGATCACAGATGAGGTACTACATCCAGGTAGGAACAACTAGGGCAAGAGTCTGTGAACTTGGATGAGAAAAAATATTATATCTGTATTTTCATTAACCTCTGAAATTTATAATTTCCTTCAGTCATGAATGTAGGTAACAAACCACTGCATACTATTTATTTATTTGGCTGTGTCAGGTCTTAGTTGTGGCATGCAGGATCTTTCGTTGCAGCGTGCAGGCTTCCCTCTAGTTGTGGCACGCAGGCTTAGTTGCCCTGTGGCATGTGGGATCTTAGTTCCCTGACCAGGGATCGAACCCGCATCCCCTGCATTGGGAGGGGGATTCTTAACCACTGGACCACCTGGGAAGTCCCTGTATAATTTTTTTTATAAATAAAAAAATACAGGTATTATGACATATTCAAGTTGCTGCAGATTTCTCAAAAGATAATTTATATTTATCACGTCTTTGAAATGATGGTAGTTATTAGATCTGCTGCTGGCTCTTGTTTTTCAGTGCCTTAATAAAGAGGCACATATATTGCTATATCACAAACTTGGTTTTTTCTTAACTGTAATTCTAATGTATATTATTTTATACATTTAAAACATTGTTCTGTGAAACCTTCACCAGATTGTCAACTGGTCCGTGACACACACAAAAAGGGACCTTGTAAATCCCTTGTAGTAGAGAAGCCCAAGAGGTACATGTGAAAATAGTTATTTCCAGTGGCCTCAGGGGGGCAGCCTAGCAGAATATTTGAGGTAAGACCTGTCTTGAAATCTAAGATGTAAGGTCACTATAGGTTTGTGCCCTATCTTCCTTCATAGTGGTCACAGTCTAAGACATAACCACAACTAACTACGGATTACAGACGACCCTTTATGACCCACGCAGGGTCTGTTTCACAGGTAATAAGCCAGGAGGAGGTAACCTTCCAGCTAGCTTGGCCAAGGGAGTTTCACAGAAGAGGTGGCATTTGAACAGGTAGATTTGACAAGTGGAGGTGTAGACGGGACATTCCAGGCAGAGGGAACCATCTGCTTTGTTCTAGCCCAGTAAAGAAGAGAGGGAGTCACTGCTGTCTTTTTTTTTTTTTTGGCCTCTCCCGTTGCGGAGCACAGGCTCTGGACGCGCAGGCTCAGCGGCCATGGCTCACGGGCCCAGCCGCTCTGCGGCATGTGGGATCTTCCCGGACCGGGGCACAAACCCCTGTCCCCTGCATCGGCAGGCGGACTCTCAACCACTGCGCCACCAGGGAAGCCCCCACTGCTGTCTTAAAGTAAGATTCTATAGCAGGCAGAATGGCGTCACAGAAAGAAAAAGAGTCACAGGCTTAGAAGCTCTGGAATTTAATGGCCCGTCTGCTGTGTGACCTCAGGCAAGCCACTTAACCTTTCTGAGCCTAGTATCCCCATGAGTGATATAAAGATAATAGTATGAATTTTACAGGCTTTTTGTGAACATCAGGATGTGGTAATTGTTAAAGCCCTCCGCTAGTTGCTGATTACTATTTCTGGGACTGGGAATTAGCAGATTAGATAGAATTCTTCCACTCACAAGCGACAGAAAACCCAGCCTAAGGGAATGCATTGGTGGCTCATGTATCTGAAAGTCCTAGGATAGTTCTCCAGCTTCAGGCTCAGCTGGATTCAGGGGCTCAGTGTCACCAGGACCCACGTTTGTGTCTTGTCTCTCTCCATCTCTTGGCACTTCGTTTGCATAAGCAGCTTATGCAAATGCAAATGCAAAGGAGAGTCTCTGTCTGAGACTCTCCCTTCATGGTGGCAAGCTGGCTGCTACAGCCACAGCTCCAAACTTCTAGCTTTCCAGGTTCAGTCCATTGGGAAGGAGAAAATACCTCTTCCCGGTCAAGTCAGAGCCTTGGGATTAGTTCTTTCTGAGCCAGGGTGATCTCACTTGAATCACCAGTGGGTTAGTGATGTTCTGATTGTCTAAGAGTCAAGAAAAGGTGTTTCCCCCAAAGTAAAATCAGGGTGCAGTTGGTGGAAAAAGGTGACCAGGTGCTTGGCAGAGAAAACAACAGATATCTGCTGTATGAGATATCTCTTCACTCCCAAAATGTAGGTTATGGTCTCTGAGGGTCTACCCTGGAATGAAGGCTGGCCTGTGCTCTCTCGTCCCCGAAGTGTTACTTCCTGGCTGAATGTGCTTGCCTTCTCCCATCTAGTCACTGTCATCTGGGCTGTTGCCTCTTTCCTCTATTGATAAAGCCTCTGGTTTGTACATTGTCCTGTCTGTTGGAGCTTACTGTTCTTTCTTTGAATATGCCAGGCCTCCAGCCATCTCTATGCTTTTGGACATGGTGGTCCCTCTGCCTACGACACTCTTCCATCTCTCTGGCCACCTGGATGACTCTAGCCACCATCCTAGGGCCTTCTCTGGCCTTCCTAAACTGGTTTAAGTGCCCTTTCTCTCTGCTTCTGAATTAGCCTGTGCCTTACCTCTTTTAAAGCATTTTTAAACCTTATTTACTTCTTGTATTTGACCATAATTTTGAGAACAAAATTTGTATTTTTTATCACTACACCTGTTAGACACCATTGGTATTTGTCTAACTTATTGAATGAATGAAGTAAATAAATACTAAAAGAAGTGAGATTTGATTTGAACTTGCATTTGAAATACAGAAACTATCCTCCTCTGAGCTTAAGAACTGGTAGTTTGCTCTGAACCTGGGTACCTTTGCCCTAAAGGTTCCCAGTTGGATAGTGAGCTATTAGGGATCGTAATAAGATCATTTATCCATCTCTTTCTACGTATGCTCATCTGCATTTTACAGACAAGAGTAACTGAGGCTCAGAGAGGGGATATGAGTTGCCTAGTGTCCCACAGCTAAGGGCAAAACCAGGATTTGGATCCTGGTCTGACTCTAAAGCCAGTGCTCATATCATTTAGCTACTCATCCATTGCTTCCAGCATTTGTTCATTCATTTATTCAACAACTGTTCATTGCCTAAGCAGACTGACAAAGGCTCTGCTCTCCGGCAGCTTCCTCTAATGGAGGTGGACGGCTGGACAAATGTTAGTGAAGGGGTCAAGCTTGGTGGGGATGGGGCTGGGCTGTTCTGAGGTCCCCTCTAGTCCCAGTCTGTGCTTTCATACTCCAGAGCAGAGAGCACGGCCCGTCCAGATCTCCTCCCCCTAGGGACCAGACTCTGTGTTGCTACCAGGTCAACTGGCCATGGTCTTTTCCCAGGTTTGGTCGCAGGCGTGTGATCATCAGGAAGGGCCAGAGGGCCAACAGCTTTTATTTCATCTACCTGGGCACGGTGGCCGTGACCGAGGACGAAGATGGCAGCAGTGCCTTCCTGGACCCCCACCCGATGTTGCTGCAAAAGGGCAGCTCTTTTGGGGTAAGCACGGGGGACGGGTCTGCGTTCCTGGGGTGGGGTTCGTGGTGTGACAGGACTCCTGCTACAACCTCTAGGCCAGGCCCAGCCCTGCCTTTCACTCTGTGCAGTCACTGCGCTGTTGTGGGTCACAGAGCCCTTACCTGTCAAATGCTGATCGAGTTGGAGCCAGTGATGTCCAAGTCCCACCACTTCGTCTGTGATGTTTAAGGAGTATGCTCCCTCTACAACCCCCTAGAGGTGCAGTGACTCCTCAGCAAGGCCTCTCCAGCTTCCTTTCTCTGCCCTGGTCAAGCCAGTTGCCTCTTTTTCCACAGGCAGCATATTAAGAGGGAGGGGCGTGGGCCCATAGAAGCAGGGAGTGAGCAGGGGCACAGGACGGTCCAGGGAACCTGCAGTCTGGGGAGGAGAGATTTCTAAGGGGAGATGCAAGCAGGGAAGAGGTGGTCAGGGCTGCGGGCAGAACGCCAGGGGTGACCTCTCACTTGCCTTTGCCCCTGTCTACCCAACAGGAAATGGGCTTTCTAACTTCTTCAGTGAGGAGGGCCACCGTGGTCTGTATGGAAGAAACAGAGTTCTTGGTTGTTGACAGAGAGGATTTCCTTGCTAATAAACTGGACCAAGAAGTTAAAAAGGATGCTCAGCATCGGTTTGAATTTTTTAGGTAACTCCACCAGCCAGCGTCTTCCCCCTGTGTGTCTATTAGGTGCCTTTGTCCTAGACCCAGTGGGGAACACTAGGTGCTGTTCTCTCTGCTTGAAATGCTCTTTGGTACCCACCTCCCACCCAACTTCTCCATCTAGCAAACTCCTAACATACCTTCACGTCACAGTTCAAATATCCCTTCCTTATGGGATAGTAACAACAGGATAGCTAACATGCATTGAGCACTTGCTGGGCCAGGCAGGATGCTCAGCCCTTTGTACCACCCGTTATATCTAATCTCACATTCAACCCATGATGTTCTTTCTCTTTTTCTCCCCAGTTTACAGTGAGGGAAGCAAGGCTCAGGATGGTGATGTGTCCAGAATGCCTGATTCAGAGTCTCTGGGCTTCACCACCCTGCCTCACTAACCAAGCCCACCTACCCTCACTCCAGAATAGAGAGGGTGCCCCCTCAGTGCTTCTACCCTGTGTTTCTGTAAAGCCCCATCCAAACTGTAATTCTTGAGCATATAATACTTTCTTTACAGTTTATTTGTGCCATCAGACAGTAAGCAGCTCAGTGGCAAGGGCAGACCTGCCTTTTTCACCATCATCATCCCTGTGTTATCACAGTGCCAGGAGCATGCAGGTGCTCATTTAATTATCTTTAGTTACTTGCCTTGAGGAAAAGAGTGAAAATCAAATGGAGCATCTGCACTGGCACTGAGAATACAGGTTGTAGGGTTGCAGGGCCATAGAGAAGCGTGTTGAGCAGAGGGGTGGGCTGGAACTGAGAGAAAGCCATCTGCATGAAGGGGCTGCAGCCCGAAAAGGGAGGGACTCGGTTCTGAAGGGAGGGGCAGTTCATTTTTTTATACAGTGGAAGAAAAATAGGACCGTGTTCTAATCTCAACTCTTAGGCTTATCCACCATGGGACCCTAGATAGGTCACTTCACTTCTCTGGGCTTTAGTCTCCTGCGCAGTAAAATGGGGATAACAATTCCTCTCTCCCGAGGTCATTGTAAGAATCAAATGAGGTGATCGTGGGAAGTGCGTGGCTCAGTCTTGGCCCAGGAGGTGCTCCTTCTGTGGTGGCCCTGTTTTCCTCCTGTGTTTCCAGACCCTTCTCCTCCTTGGGCGTGGCACTGACCCTGTTCCCCTTTGATGCCCTGGACAGAACTCGGTGCTCCCTCGCCTAGGTTGAGGCCTGAATCACTCGAGTTCAGAGCTCATAATCTGTTGGAGCTGAGAAGATCTAAGATGATTTTTGTTGGCAGCCCCGCGGGGCCACCTGCGAGGGAAGGGAAGCCCATGATCAGCGGTGTATGAGATTCAAGATCGCGGAAGGGGTGGTCACTGCCGGATGGGCCTTTCACCACAGGGCACAAACAGGCCAAAAGAGGAGAGTCCAGACTTCCCCCATTCCCAGGCCCAGGGCTGAGGATTTGAAGCCAATAGGCTGGAGGAGACAGGGGTTGGAATGAGCTGCCCAAACCAAAGGTAGGGCCTGGACTGCTGGGCTGGGGGACAGGATAACCAGTGAGCTGAAGTGAGGAACTCTTGGGTGCTCCTTGGAATGGGAGTAGCTCAGTGGTAACAATGTTGGCGGGGGATTCAGCTGGGAGAAGCTCCTGGAGGGAGGAGCGGAAGTGAAAGAAGCAGAGCTCCGATCACCCCGGGTGCGTCTGAGGCGCAGTGAGGGGAGCAGCTGAAGGGCAGGGCCTTGAGAAGAGGGCAGGGGAGCAAAGGACAAGTGACAGGAGACGGGCTGCAGGCTAGGCTAGCGAGCAGGGTGGGCGTGAAATCTTCCGCCTCAGGCCTTTGCAAGAGCAGGAGAACATATTCCTTTTCTGGAAATTGCTAAGTGCTGAGCCCCCTTGGTGACGGAGGGCGATGAAGTCTAACAGGCTTTTCCCCTCAGGAAGATGGATCTGTTTCACTCCTGGTCCGATGAGAAGCTCTGGAAGCTCGTAATGCTGGGGAAGATAGAGAAGTTCTCATATGGGCAGCTGATCTCAAAGGACTTTGTAGAATCGTCCTCCATCGTGTTTGTGTGTAAGGTAAGAGGTCTGGGGTGGGGTGGTGAAGCTGGGAAGAGCGTGCCTAATCTAATGTCCCGTAGCCAGGTGACCGGCAGAGCCCTGGTCTTCAACACGTCTTTTTCTGAGCGCCCATATCCTACTTAAAAAGGCAAAGGAGTGTCCATTGACAGGTGAATGGATAAAGAAGATGTGGCACATATATACAATGGAATATTACTCAGCCATAAAGAGAAACAAAACTGAGTTGTTTGTAGTGAGGTGAATGGACCTAGAGACTGTCATACAGAGTGAAGTCAGAAAGAGAAAAATAAATACCGTATGCTAACACATATATATGGAATCTAAAAAAAAAAAAATGATGAACCTAGGGGCAGGACAGGAATAAAGAGGCAGATGTAGATAATGGACTTGAAAACACAGGGAGGGGGAAGGGAAAGCTGGGACGAAGTGAGAGAGTGGCATGGACATATATACACTACCAAATGTAAAGTAGAGAGCGAGTGGGAAGCAGCTGCATAGCACAGGGAGATCAGCAGTGCTTTGTGACCACCTAGAGGGGTGGGATAGGGAGGGTGGGAGGGAGGGAGATGCAAGAGGGAGGGGATATGGGGTTATAATATGCATATAGCTGATCCACTTTGTTATATAGCAGAAACTAACACACCATTGTAAAGCAATTATACTCCAATAAAGATGTTAAAAAAAAAAAAAGACAAAGGACACACTTTGGCCTCCCTCCCTCAGAGGGTTGCTGTGAACGTTAAGATATAGCTGTTATATTACAAAGAGGGCAGGTGTGGGGAGGGTACCCCCTTCTTCAGCTCATATACATGTTTATTTACAAACAGATACATATTTAAATTATGCATTTGGCTCTTGAATTTTGATGATGCCAGGTCACTTATTTATTTATTTATTATTTCTTTTTGGCTGCATTGGGTCTTCGTTGCTGCGCATGGGCTTTCTCTACTTGCGGCAAGTGGGGGCAACTCTTTGTTGCGGTGCATGGGCTTCTCATTGCGGTGGCTTCTCTTGTTGTGGAGCACGGGCTCTAGGCGCGTGGGCTTCAGTAGCTGTGGCACTCGGGGTCAGTAGTTGTGGCTCGCAGGCTCAGTAGTTGTGGCGCACGGGCTTAGTTGCTCCGTGGCATGTGGGATCTTCCCAGGCCAGGGCTCGAACCCATGTCCCCTGCATTGGCAGGCGGATTCTTAACCACTGAGCCACCAGGGAGATTTCCAGATCACTTTTTATAATTATAATCTCTAAATTGTAAAAGTAATACGACCACATTATACAACTTTCCAGGAAGAAGGACAAATGAACTCATCACCACAGAATAGATTTCCAAAATTGAAATTACTTAGCATCACCATTTTTATGACTCTTGGAACAAACTGCTTTTCACAAGGAGGGATCCACTTTCTCTAGCTCCCAGCAACACACAACTTTGCCAGTGCCACCAACCTCTGCCATCATTCTTTCAAAAGTTTTTAAATTTAATATGTGGCAATTACTGCCTCACTGAGGATTTAGCTTATGGTTTTTTCTGATTACTAGTGAGATTAATCATGTTTGTTTACTATCTGAATTTTGTGTTTTGTGAATTGCTTTATGTCCTTTGCCCCCTGCTCTGTAGGTTGATAATGAAAAGAAAATTTAAGGAGGTTGATATTGTCATTATTCCCATTTTACAGAGGTAGAAAGGAAGGTTAGGTGGCTTGTTCAAGATCACGCAGTTGATGAGGGGCAGAGGCAGGGTTCGACCCAGGTCTGTCTGACCCCAAAGCTCTTCTTCCCAGAAGCTGGGACTTGGGATTTGAGTTGACCTTTCCATCAATTGTTGACCCTGCTCGAATCCTAAGTAGTTCATCATCATCATCATCATAAGAGTCACTATTTTTTTTTGAAGCTCTTTGCTCCTGTGCTAGGAGTGCTACTAACATCATTAATCTTTTTTTGTTTATTTTGGAATAGGTAGTACTTCACATGGTTCAAAATTCAAAACGCTCACAAGAGTGATGTCTCCCTCCCCTCTCTCTCTCCCAGAGTATCCCTCCCCAGGGACCACCACCAGCACCAGTTTCTATGTCTCTGTCCTCCACATGTTCTCCCTCTATACAGGCAAATGCGTGTGTATATGTTTTTTCCTTCTTTTTCATAAGTGGTGTCATCCTATACAGACTGTTCTGCACTTTGTTGTTTCATTTAAGAGTATTTCTGTAGGTTGTTCCATGTCAGTACATAAAGAACTCATTCATTCTCTTTTACCACTCATGAGTATTTTACTGTACGGTTGTGCTTTATTTTTTTATATATTTATTGGAGTATAATTGCTTTACAATGTTGTGTTAGTTTCTGCTGTACAGCAAAATAAATCAGCTATATGTATACATATGTCCCCATATCCCCTCCCTCTTGTGTCTCCCTCCCACCCTCCCTATCCCACCCCTCTAGGTCATCACAAAGCATCGAGCTGATCTCCCTGTGCTGTGCTATGCAGCAGCTTCACACTAGCCATCCATTTTACATTTGGTAGTGTATATATGTCAATGCTACGCTCTCACTTTGTCCCCGCTTCCCCTTCCCCCTCGGTGTCCTCAAGTCCATTCTCTACATCTGCGTCTTTATTCCTGCCCTGCCACTAGGTTCATCAGTACTGTTTTTTTAGATTCCATATGTATGGTTGTACTTTAACCAGTTCCCTAATTGATGGATATTTAGGTTATCTCAACGTTTGCTATTTCAAACAGTGCTTTGATGAATAACTGTGCACCTAGTACCATTCTACCATAAATCTTCACTGTAGCTCTACCAGGAAGATATTATTATTCCAAGTTTGCAGATGAAGAAGTTGAAGCTAAGATGCCTTAAGAAAGGCCACGTAGCTAGTAAGTGGCAGAGCCAGAATTCTGCCCCAAGACTCCCATATTTAATATCTCCTGTATACCTCTTGCCTACATGTTAAGCCACCACAGACATTTGCCAAGTTTTTGCCAAGATCATGACACAGTGGCCCAGGCTCTGGAGGGATACAAAGGTGGAAAAGATTGGTTTTCTGGGGCTTCCCTGGTGGCACAGTGGTTAGAATCTGCCTGCCAATGCAGGGGACATGGGTTCGAGCCCTGGTCCATGAAGATCCCACATGCCATGGAGCAGTTAGCCCGTGCACCACAACTACTGAGCCTGTGCTCTAGAGCCCGCGAGCCACAACTACTGAGCCCGAGTGCTACAACTACTGAAGCCCGCGCGCCTAGAGCCTGTGCTCTGCAACAGGAGAAGCCACCGCAATGAGAAGCCCATGCACCGCAACAAAGAGTAGTCCCCACTTGCCGCAACTAGAGGAAAGCCCATGCGCAGCAACGAAGACCCAACGTAGCCAAAAATAAAATAAATTTATATATTAAAAAAAAAAGAAAAGATTGGTTCTCTCTCCTTATATATCTTCTCCACTAGATTCTGAGTGTAGACAAAGTTGTCAATGCCGACTACCAAGTGATTAGTACAAACTCTGTGAATTACAAGAATTCAGGATGGGGAACTCCCGAAAGGCTGAAGGCTCCAAGGAGGGCTTCCTGGAGGACGTGAGATGGGAGATGAGCATTGAAGTATTGGGCCCTTAGACAAAAGTAGGGGGCAAGATTTGTTGTGTGCTGGAGCTGGCTCTTCCTGGCCTGAGAGAGCTGATTGTTAAGTTCTCAGGAATTTTGCAAGTCAGTACACATGATAATTATTAAAAATTAAATTATATAAACCTACAATTAACTATTGAAAACAAGGGTAATAACTACTGAAAAACTTATCATTTCCTGGATTTATTGCATTTTACTATTATCTATGCTCTTGAAGTTACTTTTGCCCATCGTATCCATATGGTGGAAATCTCTACCATTGTGCACATCTCTTCTCAGTTCCACGTGCAGTGACTTCCCATTGGTAGCTGAAAATCGACCATGGTGGGAGTATGTACACACACAATGGAAATAGGCAGACGCTTTAAGTCAGGTCTTGATTTATGGCTTTGCTTATTGTCTTAAGAAAGCTATAGAGAAAATGTTTATAATGCAGATTAAACTTCAAAGTGGGCTGGGTCTGTAGCCATTACATTGTAAAGAGCAGAAAATTAAGGAAATGTTTTCCAGTATTTAAAAATGACTCATCATAGATTCATCATAGAAGTTATATAATTGATGAACAGGTGAAGTTCTGATAGACATAGTGTTAAAGCTAAAAGAGGTTTTAATTTAATGAATATACTTTATAAGAGGGTGAGAAATAGTTTACCAGTAGAGTACAAGTCAGACTTAATAATATTAAATTTATGGATTGGGATGCAAATTCATTTGTCAAATTATGGTTGAATTGTGACTATAGACTAGCCACTGATATGAGTTCAGCCAAAGTCAATAAAAGCATTCTGTGAGAATCGATTGGCTATACGGAATTTCCAATAAGAGTGTGGTATATTTTATTATTATTTATAAATTGTGTGTAACACACCCTTCATAACAGTAAAATGTATAGACATGCATACATTTTACCCAAGAGCCGGTTGTTTCAGCATCACCAGGGATGTGTTTGTGTTGTGATTTTTGGGTTCAGTCCCAGAGAACAGTCAAGTCTAGCTAATGCAAGCAGGAAGGGATTTACTGCAGGATGTTAAATGGCTAACAGACTTACTGGTGAGGGGAGACCTGAAGAAACAGGCTCGACTGAAAATGACTCCCAAACGACTCCAAATCAGAGTTCAGAACTGGACTGTCACTGGTGCTGCTGCTTCTGCCAAGTTCAGGAAGCCACCGTCTCCACTAGCAAAGTGGATGTCCCACAGTTCCAAAACCAAGCCTTGCCCAGGTATACTGGATTGGTGGAACCCAAATCACATCCAGAGCCTTAGTTTCAAGGTACCTTGCGAAATGTAGTGTTTGGTTTCCAGCCTCTACACACTAACACTAAAAGGGGATTGGATGCACAGGATCTGACCCAGAGGAGGGCGAGGATGAGGATGAGACCCTTGCCAGTGGAGGGGGGAAGAGTTTGATAAGTTTGGAGAATCCTGATGGTCATGTGAGGAGAGGTGGGAGAAAGCCTAGAAGAGAAACTGGTGGTGGAGAGCCCTGAAGGCCAACCTGAATAATTGGCCATTCTTTCTCCCCCTGATATCTGCTTCCTCTTTCCTAAAATATTGGGGTGATTGCCTCCAAAGCCAAGAATGCCATGTGTCTGCAAATTTAACTCTAAGCTCTTTTGATACTGTATAACCAGAAAAGATGGAGGAGATGAGCAGTAAGGGATATAAATTCAAGACTTTCTTTACTCAGTATAATGGTTACATCCTGACCAGCAGAATGTTCTTAATCTGGTTTAGCCTTCATTTCTTTATCTGTAAAATGGGACTGTGTGCTTACTTCATGAAGTCTGTGAGGATGAGATTAGCTCAGCATATGCTCACTCACCTCAGTCACCCTCTAACCCAGTGGTTCTCAAAGTGTTGTTGCTGGACCAGCAGCGACACCTGGGAACTCATTAGAAATGCAAATTCTCGGGCCCACCCAAGAGCTATTAAACCCAAAACTCTGGGAGAAGGGGCTCAGTAATCTGTGTTCTGACAACACTGACATCTGCTTCTGGGTGGTTCTGATGTGCACTAAAGGTGGAGGACCCCTGATCTAAGGGAAGAGTTTTCAAATTTTGGTAAGCATGGCAGAGTCCTGCCTCACCCCAGAAATTCTGCTTCATTAACTCTGGAAATCTGCATCTGAATAAGCGCCACAGGTGATTTCTAATGCTTGAACTTATTCTGAGAAAAATAATACAGATGTCACAAAGTGACAGCAGGTAGAGAGCCTCTTGCCTAGCAGATGAGTTGGTTTATCCCTTGTAGTGTTTTGCTAAAACCTGATTTAATTGTTAATGCGAAGATTCTATATAAAAGTTCTGATTTCTGGCTTCTTTTGAATATTCAGAAGATCAGGCTATGTTCTGGTGTGGCTCCTCTGGCTGGAGTTGAAGTGCACCTGCCACCTCTAAAGGGACTGCTCTTTTTTTCTCATTTTAATTTCCCACCTGACCAGCTGCTTAAATGTTCATCTGCTAAAAACAGTTGTCCCGACTCCTGTAGTTTACTGATATTGCCACTAGAGGGAGAAATCAGCATCGGGTGGCTGTGCGTCGTTGGGGTCGTGGCAAAGTTGGAGAACATGATTTCTGCTAGCATTGCAAACATAATTAATGCCCATAATCAACTCATTTTGAACAGTTTATCACTTGGGACCACATGGTGAAATTGTTTTTCCACAGATACAGATGCGATTAAAGACACATGAGAGTCTTTCCAGAGAGAACTGCTCATGTGTGTTTCTCCAGTACCTGCAGTTCCTGGTGGATAAATGTTTGTTGAATGAATGTTGAAAAAAGCTCCCAGCACAATGCCTGGAATATAATAAGGGCTTATTAAATGTTTGATCTCTTCTTCTCCTTCCTGTTCAGCAGTAATCTATCTTGAACCTTAACCCTTTATAACGTGTCTTTTAGAATTCCTACTTAAAAAGATTAAGATTTTATAAAGTATGAAATGCATAAGAAAAATGACGTATCTTTCTTGCCTCTCAGATTAGAAAATATTAAAAGGGTTGTGAAAATCCAGTTGTCAATGTACTACAAAGATGTATTACAACAGGTTCTGTTATGCACTGTTGGACAGAGTGTAAACTTATCTAACATTTCCAGGGGCTTTCCTGGTGGCTCAGTGGTTAAGAATCCGCCTGCCAATGCAGGGGACACCGGTTCGAGCCCTGGTCCAGGAAGATCCCACATGCCACGGAGCAACTAAGCCCGTGCACCACAACTACTGAGCCCACGTGCCGCAACTACTGAAGCCTGCGTGCCTAGAGCCCACGCTCTGCAACAAGAGAAGCCACCGCAATGAGAAGCCCGCGCACCACAGCAAAGAGTATCCCCTGCTCACCGCAACTAGAGAAAGCCCACATGTAGCAATGAAGACCCAATGCACCAAAAAATAAATAAATAAAATAAGTAAATTTATTTAAAAAGAAAACAACTTATCTAACATTTCTGGAGGGCTGTTTGGAAATACGTATCAAAATTTAAAACATGCATAATACCTTTAGGAATGAATCCCAAGGAGACAGTCAAGCATAGGTATTGTATTAGGATAAACTGGATTAAGCCACAATTATTTTTAAAATCCTCAGATCTCAGTGGATTGACAAAGTATATTCCTTCCTCCCACTACCTGATCATAGCAGGTCAGCAGGAAGCCTTACTCCTCATGTCACATGGAGACATGGGCCCTTCTTGACCCATGATTCAATGATCAGTAGAACAGGAGAAGGTAATATTGAGAGTCAAGTGATGGCTTTTATTTATTTATTTATTTAGGCCTAGCTGAGCGACTTGCAGGATCTTAGTTCCCCAACCAGGGATCGAACCCGGGGCCCCCGCAGTGAAAGCATGAAGTCCTAACCACTGGACCACCAGGGAATTCCCTGGCTTTTAAAGTTTCTACCCAGGATTATCACAAGTCACTTTGCTAAGGAAATTGGCCAAAGTGGTAAGAAGGCCATGCCTAATTCAAAGGGTAGAAAAGTATAATCCTGCCATGTGCCTGGAAGGAGAACTCAAGTACTTGCCTCAATGACCACTATGGGCATTAAGATGTAAGTACAAGGTTATCAGTTAAAAGTTGCTGTCCACTGCAGGTCACAGTATTAATAGTCTAGAATTAAGCAATCTAGTGCTAGAACAGCTGTCCTAGGAAGTCATCAAGAACCCAGACCCCTTCTAGCTTCTCCCTTCATCGTCCACAGTTTATGGCTTTCATCCTAATGGCGACAGTATGGCTGTTCCACCTCCAGCCATCACATCTGAGTTTCCGGCAGAAGGTAGTGGGAAGGATAACCATAGCTCTCCTTGGAGATTTATCCATCAGTCTTCCACTTATATCTCATTAGCCAGAATTGAGTCACTGCCAGCCCCACTGTCGGAGAGTTTGGGAAGGTGGTGAGTTTTTTTAAACTGGAGATTTTGTTGTCCTGACCGAAATCAGAGTTATATATAATACTGGCAAATTAGAAACAACTAAATATTAATCTTCAGAAATGTTTTCCTGAGGTGTAACATATATGCAATAAGGACCTCAAATCTAAACTTTTACAGCTTGATGAATTTTTACATATGTATACCCCTGTGTAAGCATCACCCAAATCAAGATAGAGAACATTTTCAGTACCTCAGAGGCTCCCTTATGTCCTTTCCCAGACAAAATGCCCCCACACAGGTAACCACTCTTCTGACTTCTGTCACCACAGATTACTTTTGCCTATTCTTTAACTTTGTGTAAATGGAATCGTATCGTATGTGCTCCTTGTGTCTGACTTCTTTTGCTCAACTGAATATTTATTTATTTTTAATTTTATGTAAATTATGGCATACATAGAATAATATGCAATCATTAAAAACAATAGCTTAGAACCATATTGCTTGGCATAAAAAGATGTCCTTGATATATTATTGAGCTTTTAAAAAGGTTACAAGAGTCTGTTTTACATAAAAGGACTTATTTATGAAAAATTGTATCTATACATCTTATATGCTTAGAGAGAAGAGTTTGAAATAATATTCACCAAAGTGTTACCCTTGTTATTTCTGGGTGTTAGGATTAACATAGTTTTAACTTTCTGTATGTTCTTCTTTGTTTGATTTGAATATTTTTTAAACTTTTAGTTTTGGAATGATTTTAAATTTACAGAAAATTTGCAAGAACAGTACAAAGAATTCCTGTATAACCCTAACCTGGCTTCAACAATTATTAACATTTTGCCACATTTGCTTCTATATATATGTATATTTTTTTCCTGCCTGAATCATTTGAGAGTTAAGTATCATTCATCATATTCATTTACCCCTATATACTTAAGTGATTATTTTCTAAGATCAGAAATTAACCACAGAATAATTTTTGAAATCTAGGAATTTAACATTGATATAATATATAATCTATAGTCCATAGTCAATTTCACCAATTGTCCCAATAACATCCTCAATGGTGATTTTTTTTTTTTTTTAGTTCTCAGGCCTCTTTAGCTATTTGAATTTTTTATGATGAGTAGATAACATTTTCATTTTTAAAAAGGGCCTGAAACCACTTGCATTAAGCAAGTAAAACAAAAGAGAGCTTATCTTCAAAGCCTAGCCTACCTGGAGCTGGGGTTGACCCTTCTGCTCGTGTCTCTTGACGTGTCCAGGGCAGCTGTGAAGTACTGCAGTTGATAGACCTTGCGACCTCGCCCTTCTACCACAAGTGGGTCTGGCAGCACCTGCAGCTGATAGACGACAGACCTCCAAACACCCACCTCAAGGGTAAGCCGACATCCACATCCGGCAGCCCGCAGCACGGTAGGGGGTGCCTGATCCTGTGGGTTCTCAGTGCCTGGTCCACAAAATCTTAGAAATCTAGAGCTGGAAAGGCCTGGCAGGATAGACATCCTTCTTCTACCAGCTGTGGAAACCTGGTCCACGCGGCCGTCCGAGGTGAGGCTCCTGCCCACCCTTGCAGCCAATTTCAGCCTTTCCCTTTTGCTTCAGGTTCTCACAGGGAGAGGGGTGGAAAAAAGAGAGCTTGGAGCTAGACAGAGCCAGGTTTGAATACCACTGATTAGCAGGGTGATTTTGGTGAGTACTCAAGCCTCTGGGCCTGGTGCCCTGGGGTCTGTCGCTGGTGTCGTGGTTAAGAGCATAGGCCCAGGGCCAAGCTATGATTGAATTCAGGGTCCTTCTCTTACTAGCTGTGTGGATACTGGGCAAGTGATTCCACGTCCCTGCACACCGATGCCCTCAGAGTCTGTAAAATATGACTCATGGTCCCTGCCTCATAGGCTTGTTATAAAATTAAGCAAATGAATATATAATGCTCTTAGAACACTACCTAGATGCATTAGTATATAGTAGATGTTCACTCTCATCATCACACAGGTTACTAGGAGCGCTGAATCAGATCATGTGTGCACAGGGCCTGGGAGGTGCTCAGTAAATTTCAGCTCTCTTCTCATGTCAATTCTTTTTTTCTCTCTTTTCCATTGCTAATCCACCAGAGAAAAAGCCTCATCCCACACATTCCCCCCCCCATTTTTTTTCTTAACTGTGGCAAAATACACATAATGTAAAATTTACTATCTTAACCATTTTTAAGCACACAGTTCAGTGGTATTAAATATATTCTTTTTCTTACCTGCCTTCTTTTGGACTATTTTGTATGATGCCATTTCATTTTCTCTGTTGGCTTATTAGCTCTAACTCTTTGTCTGTTTATTTTAGTGGTTGCTTTATAGTTTGTTGAACATACCTTTAACTTATCACAGGCTACCTTCACGTGATATTATGCCACTTCACATACAGGATCAGAACCTTACGACAATATACTTCCATTTCTCCCTTCTCAGATTTTGGGCTATTGTCAAATATTCTACCTTCACATATGTTAAAAACCTTACAATACACAGTTGTCACTTTTGCTTTAAACAATTATCTTTTAAATATATTTAAGTAATAAGAACAAAAGTATTTTATATTTACCTATGTGGTACCATTCCTGATGTTCTTCATGCCTTTGTATAGGTCCAGATTTCCATTATACAATTTCCTTCTGCCCAAAGTATTTCCTTTAACATTTCTTTCAGCTTTTCTATGTCTAAAAATGATTTTGTCTTAATTTTTAAAAGAAATTTTTTGTTGGGTATAGAATTCAAGGTTAACAGGGTTTTTTGTTTGTTTGTTTTTGCTCAGTATTTTAAAGATTTGCATTAAAGTCTGTCTTCTGGCTTGCATTGTTTTCAATAAGAAGTCTGCCAACCTTCTTATCTTTGTATAACCTCTTTGCATAACTTTGTATATCCTTTGTACGTAATAATGCCTTTTTGCTATGGCTGTTCTCTTTTCTTCCAGTTTTATTGAAATATAATTGACATACAGCACTGTGTAAGTTTAAGGTATACAGCATAATGATTTGACTTAAATACATCATGAAATGATTACCACAATAAGTTTAGTGAACATCCATCATTTCACATAGTTACAAAAGAAAAAAATTTTTTTTTCTTGTGATAACTCTTAGGATTTACTCTCTTAATAGCTTTCGTATATAACATACAGCAGGGTTAATTATATTAATCATGTTGTACATTACATCTCTATTACTTAGTGTTTATCTTATAAGTAGATGTTTGTACCTTTTTTAAAATTTTTATTTATTTATTTTTGGCTGCGTTGGGTCTTTATTGCTGCCCGTGGGCTTCCTCTAGTTGCGGCAAGCGGGGGCTACTCTTCGGTGTGGTGTGTGGGCTTCTCATTGCGGTGGCTTCTCTTGTTGCAGAGAATGGGCTCTAGGCATGCAGGCTTCAGTAGTTGTGGCATGTGGGCTCAGTAGTTATGGCTCACAGGATCTAGAGCACAGGGTCAGTAGCTGTGGCGCACGGGCTTAGTTGCTCTGCGGCATGTGGGATCTTCCCGGACCAGAGCTTGAACCCGTGTCCCCTGCATTGGCAGGCGGATTCTTAACCACTGTGCCACCAGGGAAGCCCCAGATGTTTGTACCTTTTGACCACCTTCATCCAATTCCCCCTCTGCCCTACCCGCTGCCTCTGGTAACCACAAATCTGATCTCTTTTTCTATGAGCTTGTTTATTTTTGAAGGGTAATTGACCCACGGCACTATGTTAGTTCCTGGTGCACAACATAGTGATGCGATATTTCTGTACATGGTAGAGTGATCACCACTGCCTTGCCCTGGTTGGTTTAAAATTTTTCTCTTTATCAGTGGTTTTAAGGAATTTGGTCACACTGTGTCTTCACAAAATTTTTGTCATGTTTCTGTGCTTGGGGTTCATTTAGTTTTTTGGATCTTTGGGTTTATATTTTTCATCAGATTTGGAATGTTTTGACCATTAAAAAAATTTTTTTTCTATCTTTCCTTCTTTCGCCTCCACTTTGAGGACTCCAATCACATGTATATTGGACTGCTTGAAGTTGTTTCACTGATGCTCTATTAATTTTTCGTTGTTGTCTTTTTTCTCTCATTTTTGATCATTTTTATTGCTGTGTCTCCAAGTTCAGTAGTCTTTCTTCTGCATTGTCTAATCTGCTATTAATCCCATCCATGTATTTTTCATTTCAGACCTTGCAGTTTTCATATCTAAAAGTTCGATTTGGGTCTTTTTTTTTTTTCTTAAATAATTTCCATGTCTCTGCTTAATATACACACAATTTCCTCTTTGGAATACAATTATAATAACTATTTTAATGTCGTTGCATACTAATTCTGTTATCTGTGTCATTTCTGGGTCAGTTTCAGTTTATTGTTTTTTTCTCTTTATATGGTTCATATTTTCCTACTTCTTTGCATGGTTGGTAAGTTTTCACAGAATGCTAGAAACTGTGAATTTTGGGTGCTACATATTTAAAAATTCTTGTAAATATTTTTGAGATTTGTTCTGGGATGCAGGTAAGTTACTTGGAAATATTTTGATCTTTTAAAGACTAGCAGTTAGGCTTTGGTAGGTAAGATCAGAGCAGTGTTTAATCTAGAGCTAGTTTTGCCCCATTCATGAGACAAAGCCATTCTGAATATTCCACAGGTGCCCATGACTTGTGAGGCTTTCTATTCTAGCTGTTGAGAACAGGAACTATTTCTGGTCCTGTGTGAACTCTGATTATTTATCCCTCTAAACATTTTGGGTGGTTCTTTCCCCAGCCTTGGGTAGCATTTTTGTATCTATTACTGCATAACAAATTATCCCAAAACTTAGTGACTTGAAACAATATTTATTATCTCTCAGTTTCTGTGGGTCAGAAATCTGAGCATGGCTTAGCCAGCTGCCTCTGGCTCAAGTTCTGTCGTGAGGTTGCAGCTGTCTGCCAGGGTTGTGGTCTCATCTGAAGACTCACTTGAGAGGGACCCACTTCCAAGTTCACTTACGTGGCTATTTGCAAACCTTGGTCCCTCACCTTGTGGGTGTCTCTACAGGGCTGTCTTATGACATGGCAGCTTGCTTCCCCAGGAGTGAGAGAGAGCAACACAGAGTATACCCAAGGCAGAAGCCTTTTAAACCTAGCCTCAAAAGTGATATCTCATCACTTCTGCTATATTCTATTTATTAGAATCAAATCCAGCCCACACTTAACGGGAGGATAGTACACAAATGTGTGGCCATCAGGAGGTGGGAATCACTGAGGGCCATCTTAGTGGCTGCCTAACCACTGGTGGTTTCCTAACATCATTCATGTATTGCTCAGTACTCAGCTGAGACCAAAGGGGACCCTCGGAAGATCTTCAGAGTTCTCTCTTTGTGCAACCCTCTCTTCTCTGGGACTCTGCTCTGTGAACTCCAGCTGCCTTGTCTTCCCTGGACTGACTTCTGTCTCATTAATTCAGAGAGATTGCTGGGCTCCTCCTGGGTTTCCCTTTCCTGCACCATTGCCCAGAAGGTCTCCAGGTGGTCGGCTGGGGCAATAGTAGGGCTCAGCCCATTTGTTTTCTATCTTGCAGGGATAATGGTTCTTCATGGCGTGATGCCCAGTGTCATGAAAGCCACGTTTTTCATGTATTTAGCCCAGTATTTTATTAGTTTCAGGTGGGAGAGTAGTCCCTGTTACTCTGTTTGGCTGGAAGCAGAAGTCTAGATCTATGGTTCTTAATAGCTGAGTTTTATTCTCTTGTATGGATATAACACAATTAAACCAATTACCTTTTACAGATATTTTGGGTTATTTCCAATTTTTCGCTATTACCTTACTGTGGTGAATTTCCTGGTGTGTTTATCTTTGCATACTTGTGCACAAAAACATATTGGATAAATTCTTACAATTACTGGATCAAGTATTTGGTCCAGTGTGTACTGGCTATGCACATTTAAAATATTGATAAGTATTGCTAAAATGCCTTCTGAATAGGTTGTACTTAGGGCTTTTTTATATATGCTTTGTTTTTCTAGGCCTACTCCTTGTGTGGTTCGAGTTTATTTCTATTAACATTAATTTTAATACTAACACTGGAGAGGTTTTTTTTTTTTTTTTTTTGGTCGTGCTGCACAGCTTGTGGGATCTCCATTCCCCGACCAGGGGTTGTACCCAGGCCACGGCAGTGAGAGCCCAGGATCCTAACCACTAGACCACCAGGGAACTCCCAGAAGATGTTTTTTAAATCAATATCATTAAGGTTTCATTTTCATACAATAAAAGACACACATTTAAAGTGTGTAGTTCAATGAGTTTTAACAAATTTACATCTGTTGTAACCACCACAATCGAGTTATAGAACATTTCCGTCACCTCCAGAAGTTCCCTTGTGCCCCTTCCCAGTCAATCCCTATCTTTCATCCCTGGCCCTGGGCAACCACCGATCTGCTTTCCATCACTATAGGTTACATTTGTCTTTCCTAGGGTTTCATGTAAATGGAGTCCTATAGTATGTACTCTTTTGTATCTGGTTCCTTCACTCAGCATAGTGTTTCTGAGTGGTATTCTCTTGGAGATCTTTTTATTTTTTAAAAAATATTATTTATTTTTTGGGGGGGGTTGCGTTGGGTCTTCATTGCTGTGCGCAGGCTTTCTCTAGTTGCGGTGAGTGGGGGCTGCTCATAGCGGTGGCTTCTCTTGTTGCGGAGCACAGGCTCTAGGTGCATGGGCTTCAGTAGTTGTGGTGCATGGGCTTCAGTAGTTGTGGCTCATGGGCTCTAGAGCACAGGCTCAGTAGTTGTGGCTCACGGGCTTAGTTGCTCCGCAGCATGTGGGATCTTCCCGGACCAGGGTTTGAACCCTTGTTCCCTGCATTGGCAGGCGGATTCTTAACCACTGCGCCACCAGGGAAGCCCCATGTTGGAGATCTTTTTATTAATGCTCACAGAGGACCTATTATGTTCCAGGCACTGTGTTAGGCATAGCACATACTTTATCTGTAATGCTTACAATAGTCCTAGGAGGATTCCAAGAGATTGAGACTTGTCCAAGGTTCTATGGCTGGTCACCCATTTATTTTTTATTGCTCCTCCTGCCCCCAGTCCCGGTTTGAAAGCCCAGATAAATGTGATCTGTTAATGGAAAGACATGAGCTTTGAATCAGAAACACCTGAGTTCAAATACAAGCTTCAGCCCTTTCCTGGGTGTTAAACTCTGCTTCTCATTTTCTCTCTTAAATAAGGCTAATGGCATTTGTCTAGATGTAATGGATGTAAAGGCTCTCGCTCAGGACCTGGCACAGAGGGACAATAGTGGAAGCCACAGTGTTTTTCTTTCCTGTTTTTCTTAATTCCCCCGTGCATCAGACTAGCCACACAGGAGATTGTGATATACCTCCAGACACCTCCAGCACAGCCCTCATGTATGCAAAGACCCATTAATGGGTTTTCCTGTGCTTTCTCTAACAGATCTGTCTCCTGTGGAGAGATTTAAGGAATTCCAGATCAAGTCATATCCTGTACAGGATTTTAGTTCTCTGAAACTTCTGCATCTCCGGAAAGCCCAGGAGCAACAGGGATCCAGCTTCAGTAGGAAGATTAAAACCTCAGCAAATACTCTCCCAAAGACCTTGGGCCCAAAGATCAAGTAAGCTTTGCCCTTGACAGATAGAAGGGTCCAGATTCTGGTTGAAAAGGGGGATATAACTTACAGGGCAGAATGTCAGGGATGCTGGGGAGGGGGCGGAGGTAGCAATCACAGCTTGACCCCAAAGGTTGGGATGTGTGCAGAAGGCAGCCTCCAGAGGTCCTAGGTTTGATATGGGGACTGCCTTCCCTGCCTCCAGCTCACAGGGCCCCTTTAGGTGGTGGCTGCTTCCTTTCTCAGGGAACCCATCTGAAGAAGAAGGGGCAGGACACAGTTTTTGGTGATGACATTCTGTTTGTATATCACTGGGCCTTTTTGACCCTGAGCTTCTTTTTTTTTTTTTAAACATCTTTATTGGAGTATAATTGCTTTACAGTGGTGTGTTGGTTTCTGCTGTATAACAAAGTGAATCAGCTATACATACACATACATACCCATATCTCCTTGACTCTGAGCTTCTTAAGAAAAGTCTGCTCATTTAAGGGAGGCAGTAGATAAGTGCTTTGGAGTCAGTCCAATCTGGGTTCAAATCCTGGCTTGGCCACTTACTTTAGCTCTGTGTCCCTGTGCAAGGGACTTGACCTCTCTAAGCCTCAGTTTCCTGGTCTGTAGCTAACAGCATCTAAGTCTCAGTTTGTTGTAAACCAGCAGTTAAATGAGATAATGATAATTATAGCTAACACTTATGGAAATGACTCTGTGCCTGGTACTGGATTATCTAATTTAATTCTCCCAACAACCCTACAAGGTAAGTACTGCTATTATCACTCACATCTTTCAGGTGAGAAAACCAAGGTACAGGGAGAGATTAAGTTACTTATTCAAGGTCACACAGATAGAAAGTGGCAGAGTCAGGGTTCAAACCTGAGCAGCTTGTTAGTGCTCAGTCTTGCTATCTGGTATGATCGTCATGACAGAAACAAGGTGGATGCACAATGAAGGCTGTGCTTTTTGCCTTTCCTGGAGAGGAAGGGACATTCAGTGGGCACTGGCCTAGAGGCAGCTCAGTGCCCGCCCCTTCATTACATATGAAGTAAAAATATCATACTAACAATGGCATCAGTGTCACAGTCTCCTTGGTGCCCCAGGGAATCCTTTGCCTGTTAACATTTCCAGCCTGCTTACCTCCATAATGAGCACCCTGTGGTTGCTTTGTTGTTTTTACCTCTGATGGATACTCTTTCCAAAGGATCCAGTGTTTGAAATCCCAATCCTAGTTCTTCTGAAAGTAGAGATGGAACAGACTTAGTTTCTCTGCTGTAAATAGTGAGGAAAAAGAGGACAGGCTGTCCCCACATTAAAAAATAGACATATGCTGGGCATGTCCTGGGAGGCAAGAATGGAAGCCTACCTTGTGTATATGTTGGGTGAGTTCAGCTATGCTCTCAGCTAATGAATAATCTTTTCCCTGCCTCTAATCCAGATAGCATACTTTGTCTCTTCCTTCTACCTAGCCTGAGACCAAAGAAAGCACAACAGGATTGCCTGTGTAAAACTCACTCCAACGTGAACAAAGTACCGAGTCTACAGATAACTCAGGGAAACCCGTTTTTGTGAACAAACAAATGAAGCCATCTCTTCTCTGCCTGCCTCTCAAGAAGAGCCCCAACCTCCGCTGTGTCCCCAGGGGGACAGAGCTTGCTCTTTCTCAAACTAGTCTTTCCATTTTTAGACAGCTCTGACTTAGAAATCCCCTCCTTGTGCTGAGCATTAAGTCAGCCAGCCTGGACTTCTCACCCATCAGGCCTGGCTCACGTGCATGTCTTCTCCCTGTTAAACCTCTCCAAATCCTGACAGTTTTCTCACCACCTGGGAGAAGGGAGGGGTGATCTCAATTGAATGGGGGCTGCTTATCCAGGGCTTCATGAGCTGGCTGTGTTACAAATGAGTTCTCTTTAACAAGGTGTCAAATTTCAGATCCAGGTGTCCTCATTTCATCGAGTGTCCCATGATTGATACGAAGTATGGTGCTCTCCCCAAGGAGGCTGCAGTGGGGGCCTACGTGAAGATTCACACTGTGGAGCAAGGAGAAGTCTTGGTAAGTGTGCAGAGAGAGCCTTGTTCACAATAGAGTGTGTAACACGAAGGGCTGGGGGTGCTAAGTAATGAGAGTAAATGTTTAAAATCATCCTGTTCTAAATTCGGTGATATTAAGGAATATTGGTTGATTTTTTAAAGATATGATAATGGTATTGTGGTTATGTTTTTTAAAGAGTCCTTACGGGACTTCCCTGGTGGTCCAGTGGTTAAGACTCCGCACTTCCATTGCAGGGGACATGGGTTCTATCCCTGGTTGGGGAACTGAGATCCCACATGCCACGCAGGGCAGCCATAAATAAATAAATAAATAAATAAATAAGAGTCCTTATATTTCGGAGATACATATCCAGATATTTACAGATAAAATGATATGACATCTAGGACTTGCTTCAAAATAATCCAGGAACAAGTCAAGGATGTCCCTTCTCACTACTATTCAACATTGTTTTGGAAGTCCTAGCTAGTGCATTAAGAAAAGGAAGTTAAACACATACAGATTGGGAAGGAAAAAATATAGCTGTCTTTGTTTGCAGATGACATGATTGTCTATATAGACAATTCTAAAGAATCAAAAAACAAAACAACAACAAAAAAGAACAAATAAATTTCCTGGAGCTAATAAATGATTATAGCAAGGTCACAGGGTATAAGGCAATGAACAATTGTAATTTGAAATAAAAAACACAATGTCATTTACAATAGTAACAAAAACTGAAATACTTAGGTATAAATCTAACAAAATATGTTCAGGATCTATATGCAGAAAACTATATGACTATAATGAAAAAATTCAAAGAAGCTTTAAATAAATGGAGAAATAGTCTATGTTCGTGGACTGGAAGACTCAGTATTGTTAACATGTCAGTTTATCCCAACTTGATGTATAGATTCAATGCAATCCCAATCAAAATCCCAGCAAGTTATTTTGTGGATATTGAAAAACTAATGCTAAAATTTATATGGAAAGGTGAATATAAACAAACTGATAAATCCATACAATGAAATATTATTTGGCAATAAAAAGAAATTAGCGGGGCTTCCCTGGTGGCGCAGTGGTTGAGAGTCTGCCTGCCGATGCAGGGGACACAGGTTCGCCCCGGTCCGGGAAGATCCCACATGCCGTGGAGCAGCTGGGCCTGTGAGCCATGGCCGCTGAGCCTGCGTGTCCGGAGCCTGTGCTCTGCAACGGGAGAGGCCACAACAGTGAGAGGCCCGCGTACCGAAAAAAAAAAAGAAAAATAAAAAGTAATTATCCAGGGACATCCCTGGTTGTCCAGTGGTTAAGACTTCGCCTTCCAATGCAGGGGCTGCGGGTTCGATCCCCGGGGAGCTAAGATCCCACATGCCTCGCAGCCAAAAAACCAAAACATTAAACAGAAGCAATATTGTAACAAATTCAGTAAAGACTTTAAAAATGGTTCCCTTAAAAAAAAAAATCTTAAAAAAAAAAAGTAATTATCCAATAGTGGAGGGGGGATGTATGGGTGAAACAAACTTGGCCATGAGTTGACCACTGTGGGAGCTGGGCCATAGGTGCTGGAGCTGGGTGGGCGGGTGAGCTGTATGGGGAGGGCACGAGGCCTCCTGGTGGGTAGCGATGCACCTCAGTCTTCCTGGAGGTGGGGTGACTGTCTTCTGATGTATGGTCATCGTTGTTGCCATGAATCTCCAGGGTCTTCACCCCGTGCTCCTGCTCTGGCCTGTGCGCCCCCCGAGGCAGGGAGGTCAGCCCAGCACTGTCTGGAGCCCCAGGCCCTAGCACAGCCCTCGGTCAATACCGCGTGAATATTTCCGAGCTTTTCAGCAGCTCTTATTTTTGCTTAGTAAAACTCTGCCTCCTACAATTTTTAAGGAGCTCCGACCCCCGCTTACCCATCCCCCCAAGAACAAACAGAAATCAGCTTCCTTGCCACATGGTGGCCTCTTAGGTATTTAAAGAATGCTGTTTTGTTTTTCATTCAGCATCTGTGCCCCGTTAATTATTTTCTTATGCAGGGAAAACATTCCTCCATTCCTTCAGTCTTCATGTGATATAGTTTCCAGCCTTCTCACTTCCGTTTCCCTGCAGTTTCAGTGTCTCAGAGTGAGGTGCTCAGGACTGGACACAGGCCACCTGAGGCCAGGCACCTGCAGTGCATGCAGCCTCTTGGGCTGCCCGCGGAGGAGCTGGGATGCCTGGCACCCTGGGTGCATGGAGGAACCACAGGGCAGACGAGGCGTTGCTCACTCTGGTAGAGGGTGACAGGAGCGGGGAGGCTGTGGAAGATGGAACAAGAGGGACTTGGGACTTGATTCTCTAAGCAATCCTGGAAGGCTCGGAGCAAGGCCCTGACTGCCTCATTCACCACACAGGACCCAGGGCAGAGAAACTCCCACCACCAAATATTCATTAACGAGATCCTGTTGAAGAAAGTGCCTTTGGTAAAATTCTGTTCTCCCTGCTTTCAAGGCCCTGGCTTCATTTGCAGGAGAATGAATGGTAACAGCTGTGACTGTATTCACCCACCAGGAGGTAGGAGATCACATTTTCCTTTGGAGGCAGGAGCGTAGAGCTGAGTCAGCCTTGGAAACAGCAGAGCTTGGGGCCTGGAGTAAAGAGACCCAGCTTTTGAGCCAGGGGGTGTAGGGGAACCAGCTTCTCCAGGGAACAGGCGGGCTGAGGCCTCAGACATGGTCAAGACTGGGCAGAGCAGCAGGGAGATGGCAGATGGGCCACCTCACATATTGTAGTTTTTGCTTCTAATTAGCTTGCTGTGGGGCCTTGGGCAAATCACTTTACCTCTCTGAATCTGAACCCTCATCAGAAAATGAGGACATTCACCTGGGTGAGCTGCTGACTCTAGCGTTCTATGATTCCGTTGGAGCTTTCACTCAGCAGATATTTCTTGAGGATCTATCATGCTCCAAGCATGGCCCAAGGTGCCAGTGTGGGTGAGTAAACTGACATTATTCTTGCCCTTATGGGGCTAATGATCTAGGCTGGAGACAGACAGTAAACAGATAAAGCAGCAAACACACAGAAAGGTTTTTTTTTTTTTTTTGCAGTACGCGGGCCTCTCACTGTTGTGGCCTCTTCCGTTGCGGAGCACAGGCTCCGGACGCGCAGGCTCAGAGGCCATGGCTCACGGGCCCAGCTGCTCCACGGCATGTGGGATTTTCCCGGACCGGGGCACGAACCCATGTCCCCTGCATCGGCAGGCGGACTCTCAACCACTGCGCCACCAGGGAAGCCCACGCAGAAAGTTTTAAATTGCTGTTGGGAATGGAACAGAAAGCTGAGTTGAAGGGGGTGTTCTTCCTAAACGGAGTGGTCAGGGAAGGCTGCTCTAAGGCAGTGATATTTAAGCTGGGACCTGAATGACAAAAGGAATAAACTATAGACAGCCTGGGGGGAAGAGTGTTCCAGACAGAGGAACAGCAGGTTGAGCCTGAGGCAGGAAGCAGCCTGGCATGTTGAGGGGACTGGAAGGAGGGCAGCATGGCTGGAACAGAGTAAACGAGGCAGGAGCCTTACAAGGGTGAGATAGCCAAAGCCTCGGTGGCCACAATGAAGAGTTCTGCTTTATCCTGGGCACTTTGGGAAGCTACTTGCAGACCTGACTCCGGCTGGAACGTGTGGGGTGGAGTGGAGGTGGATAACAGTGCCTGCTGATGGTACTGCCCTCAGTGAGGCCCTGGACAGATTGCTGGTTCAAATCCCGGCTCCACCACTTTCTGTCTTGTTACCTTGGGCAGGTTAGTTAACTTTGTGCCTCAGTTTCCTCGCAGTGTAGTGGTTAAAAGCATGGACTCTAAAGGCAGGCCCATCCGAGTTCAAATCCTAGCTTTATTGCTTCCGTGCTGTATGATGTTGGATAAGTTTCTTAACCTCATCAGCATCCTCTGTAAAATGATGATCATAAAAGGATTCACCTCATGGGGTTCTAGTGAGGGTTCCATGAGCTAACACACCCCAAAGCTACAAGAGGGCCTGGGATTTAGTGAAGGCTCATTAAACATTAGCTGGTGCTGTCGTCACCGTCATCATCATCATCATTGTTATTGTAATTATAAGATACATGACCTTTGCAAGTAAATTTCCTGTTTTGAACCTTATTTTCCACATCTGAGGCTGATAATCCCTATATCGCTGGGTGGTTGTGAGGATTACGTCTACACACGTGTTTCTCCCACACAGTAGGAGCTGACTAAAGAGCAGCCATCTGGCTTCTGTGCAAGGCCTGGCGCTGGTCAGAAGGGCCTTTATGCCCATTGCACTGAGCACAACTAAAGTGTGAGGAGCTTCACGTCTCCCAGAGCATCCTCACACACCACACCATCTTGTTTGGACCTTCAACAACTTCGTAAGAAAGATAACACACCTCCATTCCAGTCTTACCAAGGAGAGACAAGGCCAGGGCTCAGAGTAGATGGTCATTCTTCAAGGTCTGGAACCCAAATGGTGGTAGTGTGGGTGAGGGCGGGGAAGGGGAAACTGTTCCAAACCCTACTTCACATCTCCTTTCAAACTGAGACTCCTTCAGAGACATGCAGGGCAGGTGTTTTCACTTCTGTTTCACAGGTGAGCAAACAGTGGCCCAGGGACGTATAACTTTGCCCAAAGTCGCATGACAAGTAAACATATGGATCTTTCTTCTGAAGCAGGATTATTCTTAATCCCACACGGCCTCCATAGAGCAGAGCTCTTGGCGCGCAGGCTCAGCGGCCATGGCTCACGGGCCCAGCCGCTCTGCGGCATGTGGGATCTTCCCAGACCGGGTCACGAACCCATGGCCCCTGCATCGGCAGGCGGACTCCCAACCACTGCGCCACCTGGGAAGCCCTGGCTGATGTCTTCTTAAGCCCAAGACAGCTGGGCATTGTAGGCTCTGGATCATTGACCTCCCCTCCCCTCCTTGCCTGAGTCTTAATAGCCGAGAGGCTGAGTGAGCCCTGGATTGGGGTTTCAGCAGCAAAGACTCTGGTCCCGGCTTTGCCCCATCTCAGAGTGTCTCCTTACAAAGGGGGTTACACTCTGTAAAGCTGTGCCTGTTGATCTCCATCTCCCTTCCAGATATAACTGAGTAGGAATCCACGCCAGGGAGCCCAAGGGGCAACGGGAGCCGCACAGGGACTACCAGTGGCCCCAGAGCCCGTGAGGGACGGAAGGAACTAAGGCAACACACGCTTATGAAGGAAGCCCTGGAGGAAAGGGTGTGGGAGGGTGTGACAGCTATAAAAGGGAAGATGTAGAAGAGGAGGATGAGCTGTCTGTCATCATCCTAAGGAAGAGAAAATGGGCTGGCCTGGCACAAAGCAGAGTCCAGACTGGACACCAGGGAAAGCTTGTAAAATGCCGGCGCCCGGCAAGCGACTGTGTGAGTGCGACTCTTGCAGAGCCTGCTGCCCGTGGGCAGGACAACTGACAAAGTGCCTTGAGGGCTGTTCTAATGTGAGGAGCCCCAGGACTTTGATGTCATTAGCAAAGAGAGTTCTGGACTTCTCCCCGTCACTTGCTGAATGACCCCAGATGGATTCACCTCCTGTTCGGGGCCTTGTTTTGCCTACCCTGAAAATCTGCTTGTACAAGTGGATGGTCTCGAACTTTCTGGGACTTCTTTTTTCTAGGGCCTTCACCAGATCCTCCTCCCGGAGAGCCAGCGTGACACTCGGCCCTTGATCCTGGTGAGCCTGGGAGCTGAGGTGATACGGGTTAGGAAAGAGAAGTTTTGCGAACTGATTGACAGTAAGACAATAGAAAAATTGTCGAAGTTCGAGATCAAGTACCCCAGGTCAGTGCTGGAAATGTGCGTACCTCCCACTAGATCAAATGAACAATTTTTTTGCCTCTTATTTTGGTAAAAGGAAGAAAAAAGTGATGATACCTAAAGCTGACACTGGTGGAATGAAACTGATGATTGTTGGTACACTCGAAATTGGCTCAATCCTTTTGATAATAATTTTAGATAATAATGTTTCAAGGGACACAAAACTGTTCCTACTCTTTGAAGCAGTGGTCTACCTCTGAATTTATCTGTATGTAACTAATTATAGGGAAAGCTACATACACTAAGATGTTTGTAGCTGCCATATTCATAATAGAAAAACAACCACCTTTACCCACATGTGTTACACCAGGGGGATAGTTTCGAAAACTGTGGTACATTCCCTTGATAGAAAGTAACTTTTATTTAAAAATCATAAGTAAATGAGTGATAAAATGCTACAAGAAAAGGATAGGGTACAAAATTGTATCTATACATACTATGACTATGCCTTTGTAAAACACTTACATGAGAAAAATCTAGAAGGAAAATGAGCAAAAATGATAATATCTGTGGTATTGCCCAGTTTGTAATAGTCATTCTCTCTGGAAGCTTGGACTAAAAGGGACTTTCTGGTTATAGTTATATATTCCTCTGATGTTTAATTGGTTTTGTAGTGAGTATGCATTTCTTTTATAATGAGGGAAAAAAAAGATATACTTTTTAAAGTTGTTGTCAGGGTATGACATTCCAAGTGGGTTTTTTTTTTTTTTTTTTTTGTGGTACGCGGGCCTCTCACTGTTGTGGCCTCTCCCATTGCGGAGCACAGGCTCCGGACGCGCAGGCTCAGCGGCCATGGCTCACAGGCCCAGCCGCTCCGCGGCATGTGGGATCTTCCCGGACCGGGGCACGAACCCATGCCCCCTGCATCGGCAGGCGGACTCTCAACCACTGCGCCACCAGGGAAGCCCCAAGTGGGTTTTTTTCCCTTTATTCTCCAAATGTTTGTTAATGATGATATATTACTTCTATAATTAAAAAAAATTTATCTTGAAAGATTTGATAAAAAAGATTTCTTTTCATATTTCCCTAGTTTCCAAATTTTCCAGAGTGAATACTTTTATAGTGTGAAAAAAACCCCTAATTTTTAGGTAAAAACGAATTTATTGTCTGGACTACTGGTCACAAAACTGTTTTGATCTAACACCGCTATTACTAAAGAGTGTTTGAGTGTATACCCCCTAGAATATATATATGATATAAATAATATATGTTATTTAACTTATTTTTATTTATTATGTCCATATATTGGTATATGAATATATCATATATATTATAAACATGCAACAAATAGATCTTTAGAAAGAATAAGACAAAGATAAATATAAATGAAGTCCTACTGTTTACTTCACACAGCCCAGTGGATCTCTTTCACCTCCCTGGCTGACACCCTTACCCCCACTTTGGGATCCCCAGCCGAGGCTCCTGTAGCCATCTTACCGCTGGTCCCCTGCCTCGGTTCTCTCCCTGCCAGATCCTTTCTGCATACTTTGCTCTTGCTAAAACCCAAATCTGGCCGTGTTAAACTCCTGCTTAAAACCTTTCAGTGGTATCTCACTGCCTGTAGGATACAGTGCAGATTCAATGCCACGTAAATGGCCCTTCATTTTCTGACCCTTCAACTCCCCTGCAGCACCTCCTGCCACCTCTAACCCACTCCAGCAACACAGGCAGATTGCCTCCTGGACCTGCACATACTTGCCTTTGCCAGTGCAGGCCCTCTGCCTGCAATGCCACCCCTCAATCCTGCTCCTCTCCCCTTTATTTTCTGATAAACTTCTTCTCATTCTTTAAGATTCATATCCTCCAGAAAACCTTTCATGACTGACCCCAGGCTGGGCTAAGTACCCCTTTCTGTGCACTCATAATCCTCCCTACGTAGCTCTCACAGTGGCCACACCACGTTTTATTACAACTGTTTAGAGCTGCGTAGTTTTCGCACAGTTCTTTCCCCACCACTTGGTTAATTGCTTCGTGAACGCAGGGATTGGGCTTTAGGCACCTTTCATCTCTAGCACCTGTACAGTACCTGGCACATGGTAGGTGCATGATAAACGTTGGGTGAGTGAATGAATAAATGGGACACACTTATTAGGGAAAACTGGAAAATGCTGAACATTTAAGAAGGTGAAGACCTTCTTAAATGCATTTGCATTCCTCCAACAATCTCAATTAGCATTTTATGTATTTCCTTTCAGTATTTTTTTTTACCGCATGGCTGTGTACCAAATAGGTATTTATCATTCAGGCACACAAAGCTTCATAATGGAGATCATACCGATTGTACAATTTTGCATCCTCCCTCCTTTTTCTTTTCTTGTGGTGATGCTGTGATCAGACATCGTTTTGTGGGCAGGTGTGGGAAGCAAGTGATTCCTGTGGTGGAGAAAGAGGAGGTGTGAAGGCAAGCAAATCTGTAGAGTTGCTTCAGCCGTGTCCAATAAGCACATGAAAGAATTTGCCATGGGATCCATATGACCTTGGATAAGTCATTTTCCCTCCTGTAAGCTTAAGACTCCCATCTACAAAACAAGAAAATTAGACCAGAACAGTGTTTCCCGAAGTATGGATCATATTCACAGAAGGCTTACAAGATGACTTTAGGTGGTACACAGATTGTAAACAGCTATGTATTTATTCTAGTGTGAACTAGGAAAACATGACTAGCTCACTAAACTGATTTGACAAACTTGTTGCTTAGAACAAAGCCAAAGTAAATACTTAAGTAGAATTTTTAAAAATCATTAATAAAAGAACAGATGATATGTAGCTATGGTCCAAACTGGGGCAGTTTTGTGAAAAAAAAAAAAAAGTTGGGAAACACTGGTGGTTCCTTGCAGTTCAGCGATGCCCCAATTCTCTGATTCCCGCGTACTACCAACATAAAAAATAGCTATTTAGAAAATAGCTACTCAAAAAAGGATTTAAGGAGCCTTAGCTTCTCACATAACATCTGGTACATGATGGGTGTCAGTTAATGTTGGTTGAATTGAAACTCAGAGGTTTATGTAGACTTGAGGGTGGCAGATGTTTGGGCACTCAGCATCTGTGCTGCCCAGTCAGCACTTTGCTGCAATCGTCTGCAATGCTGACAGATAGAATTCTCGCTTATTCATTAATTGTTGAACTCATGGTTTTCTAGACTGCTAAAGCAGGCAGAAAATATAAGCATTATCTAGCTCAAATCCTCCATGTTTTAATTGAGGACTGTGAGGCCCAGGAAAGGGGACGTGACATCCTGCAGATCACACAGTCAGTTGGTGAGACACCTGTCCTGTGGATGCTACAGGCTAGATTATCTGAAGCCTCTCCCCCATGTAGAATACGAACAGCTGAGTTCACAGGAAAGAAGGGAAATCTCCAAGGCCCCAAATGAAGAGCAGCCTCAAACCAAAGCACAGAGTGTGATCTAGTGCTGGATTGCCGGGCAGGCATGGGGTGGGGTTGTGGCTGAGGGCACCATGGGCTGAAGTGTTGCATCCCGCAAGGACAGATGACACTTTCAGTTCAAGCAAGGCAGAGAGTGGAACTGGAATTGCTGCATGAAGCTGAGGACTTTAGAAGAGCTGCCCCATTTAGTGAAAGACTAGACTAGAAATCAGTGTGACCGTCGGCATCAGGAGGTTATGTGGAATCTTGTCTGTCTTAAGTTGGACTCTGGATCCAAAAAAAAAAAAAAAAAGATCCCTTCAGAATCTGTAAGCATGTGCTTGCCCCCTCCTAGGTTTTGATGAGTTCCTTAGCCCCCCTGAGCCTTAGTTTCCATGTTTGTGAAATGGGGTGGTCCTGAGGATCAAATGAGTTAACAAGTGTAAAGTGCCTGGTCATGGTAAGTGTGAAGCAGAGTTAGATATTGTTATTTATTATGTAAGAAATTGGGAGTTAACGGGACTTTTTAGTTGGAGACTATCCAGTGGTGTGCTGGGAAATGTTCAACAATCAGCTCTCTGGGAGACGGGAGGTAACCTGATTGGAAGTGTTTGCTGGTTTCTGTGGTGCACATACTACCGCCATGGCCGGTTTTGAGCTACCAACCTGATGTCATCGAGCATGAAGTTGCTCTCGTGAGCTGGTAGGAGCTGACGCTGGCAATGCTGAGACCAGCAGGACTAACTTGTAGCCCATTCTGACCTCTAGATTTTATATTAAGTTGATCTCTATGAATCAAAGTTGATTTTGTCCTGGTCAATATAATCTACCCAGAAGAATACGCTAATGTGTTAGTGATTTATCAGAGTTGCCTCCTTAGGTGAGAGTATAGGTGAGTCAGTGGAAGTTGAGTTTGCCCTTCCCTTGCTGAGGTCTCAGAAGAAAATAAACCAATGAGTCCTGAGCCCATTCCACCCTCCCCCACTTTCCTCACCCTCATGTGCTATGAGGGAAGGGGCAGAGTAGAGCCAGGGCACCAAGACCAGTCCAAGGTAGCTACCAATGGACTTTCTATCTGTATAGAGTGGCCTTGTCTGGACATTTCAGATCAATGGAACCATGTATATGTGACTGGCTTCTTAACATAGTGTTTTCAAGGTTCATTCATGTCTTAGCATGTATCAGTACTTCATTCATTTTTATTGTCAAATAATATTCCGGTGCATGGATATACCACTCTTTTGTTTACCCATTCATCAGCTGATGGACAGTTGGGTTGTTTCCACTTTTTGGCTATTATGAATAATGCTGCTATGAACATTCTTGTTCAAGTTTTTGTGTGGACATATTTTTCATTTCTCTTGGGTATATACCTAGGAGTGGAATTCCTGGGTCATAAGTTAACTGTTTAACGTTTTGAGGAACTGCTGGACTGTTTTTTCAAAGTGGCTGCATCATTTTACATTCCTGGCAGCAATGCATTGGAACCCTCGCTCCAATATCTCCACATCCCCATTAACACTTATTATTATTTGTCTTTTTAATTATCATCATCCTAGTGGGCATAAGTGGTATCTTGTGTGGCTTTGGCTTACATTTCCCTGATGGCTAATGATCACATACGTAATTTAAAATTTTCAGTAGCCACGTTATAAGAAATCAAAAGAAACGGGTGAAATTAACTGTAATAATATATTTTATTGAATGCAGTATATCTAAAATGTTATCATTTCAACATGTAATCAACATAAAAATTACTGAGATATTCTGCATTCTTTTTGTTGTTCTAAGTCTTTGAAATCTGGTGTGTATTTTATACTCAGAGCACACCTCTAATTCAGATTCATCACACTTCAGGTACTCAGTAGCCACATGTGGCTCGTGGCCACCACATGGAATAGTGCAGGTCTAGGTGATGAAGGTGTGGAAAGGTAAAGGAGGCAGAGGGAAGAGTCTGGGAAAAGGCGCGGAGGTGGGACAGGGCTCAGTGTGTTTTGGGGCTGGAAGGAGGCAGGGCTGGGGCGGGGGCAGGGGGCAGGCAGGAGCTCGTGTGGGAACCTCAGCATCTGGGCCTTGCCTTCAGCGATGAAGATGTGTGCCAGAAGTTCCTCGAGGAGAACAGCTGGAATGTCTTCCGGAAGGACCTGATGCGGCTGCTGGTGGAGCCTCGCCAGTGTCCACCATTCACCCCAGTCCAGCCCAAGAAGAAAGGGATCTACAAGCCCAAGGCTGTGATGCTGGATTTGTGTAGCTTAGACAAGAAGACTAGACCTCGTCATCCCATTTTTATGGCACCCCAGAAATACCTCCCCCCATTGAGGATTGTCGAAACCATTATAGCACCCCGGTACAAAATCCAAGAACTCCTGCCTCAGTATAAGAATGCAGGAGTCCTTGTTTAGAATCAATAAAAGATGTTGGGTTGACCCTAGTGTTTCCTGAATAACCACCATGGGAGTTGTGGGGCTTACAGTGGGGGATCCTGAGGGCTGAGCCATGGGTCCGGAGAGGTGTTTGGGGCAGCACCTGGGGCACTGTCTCTCTGGACACTTGTGGGACTGAGTAAGGGATGGTTGGGAGGCTGGGTGGGGATGGGTTAATCACTGGAGGTAGCCTCAGAGTGGGAGAGTCTTATCTGAGGAGACAGATGGGAGACACAGAGGCAAGATGGGGTTGCAAACTCAAATGCCTTGCAAGGCCGGCAGGTCGTCTAAACGAGTGTAGCAGAAGGACTGGGGAGGCGGCAGGGGACGGTGGGGACTGGTGCGCACATTCCCCATCCAGGTGGAGCCGCTGCTCCGTAGACCCAGTCAGTTGATGCCATGCCAGGAAGTAATGCAGGCCTGGTACTGCCAATCTTTAGATTTCTCAGGAGAACCCAGAAACGCAGTGTTTTAGATGATTCCTACCGGTTTTCAAATGCGAGCAACGAACTCAAATTGTTTTTGAAATATTGTGTTAGGCAAACAAAACACATACGCAGGCTGCGTTGGGCCCACAGGCTGCTGGTTTGCCAGTAGCTTGTCAAGCAGCTCTGTCAGAATGACAGGGTGTTGCCAGAGACTGGAGCGAGGCGTGACCGTGGGGGGAGGTACAAGGAGCCAGAGACAGATGGGCAGCGTGACAGGAGCCGGCGTCCCGGGTCAAGGATGAGGAGTGAGCAGGCTGAGAGAGGATGCAGACCAGAGACAAGGAGGCAGGCAGTGGGACCTGAGGAGCTCTCCTCGGTCCCTCCGGCGGGGCCTGGAAGCCATCAGTCACTGGGCGGGGCCTGGAAGCCATCAGTCACTGGGCGGGGCCGGCTCTCCTTGTTGGTAGCGCTGGGCCTAGAACTCAGGGTTCCTGTCTCACTCCAGCCTCGGCACCACAGACCTGGGACCAAGTCACCTCTCTCCCTTGGGAAAAACTTTGAGAGCCCTGAGGGGCCTGGTAGAGGCCATGGCAGCACAAGAGCCCAGCCTGGTGGTGCCAAGAGAGACAGGAGCCCTCCCCCACCAGTACCCCCCCCCTCCACAGCACCCCCGCGAGGAGCGGACTCGGAGGAACACCGGGCAGTGAGCCGGCATCGGGAGCTCTGGAGAGCCTGCTTCTGTCCCATGGGACCCCCTTGAGTGCCTGGAGTGCTTCACCTGCCCTCCGGGTTCCGCAGTGGCAAAATGAGCGTGTTGGACAAGATGAATGGTTTTCACGAGTGAGAGGTGAGTACGGTTTGAAAAGCACATTCAACATTATACTTCTGTTTGTCGAATTTAGAAGAAAGCTGTTTTCATGTTACACAGCAAAGAAGGAGGAGTAGGGAATTTGTCTGTCAGAAGAGCGTGTGGATGTAAGAGAGGAGAGAAGCAGTGGACTTAACCATCTCCACTTCCCTGATAGCTCCAGAGGGTCAAGGAGCCTGGGATGTCTGCAGCAGTCCTGGAAGGGCTGCCTGTGACCTACAAGGACAGGGTGGCATGGTTTGGGGACCAGGTAAATTAGGGTGTCTGACTATATTCAGAGATCTCTTTGTGTGTAGGTCTGTGGCTCCAAGATGATGGTGTGGACATTTTGTTCATTCATTTGAAATGTATTTATTAAGTACTTGCTCTGTTGCAGATCCAAAGGAGGATAAGAGGCAGTCTGCATTCCCTCTTATTCTGTAGGCCAAGGGTCAGCAAACTCTATAAAAGGACAAATAATAAATATTTTAGGTTTTATAGACCTTATGGTCTCTGTTGTAACTACTCAACTCTGCATGGTGAAAGCAGCTTTAGTGTTCCAATAAAGCTTTATTTGCAAAAACAGGTGGCAGGCGGGCTTCCCTGGTGGTACAGTGGTTAAGAATCCACCTAAGAATGCAGGGGACACGGGTTCGAGCCCTGGTCGGGGAAGACCCCACATGCCACGGCGCAACTAAGCCCGTGCACCACAACTACTGAGCCTGCGCTCTAGAGCCCACGAGCCACAACTACTGAGCCTGCGTGCCACAACTACTGAGCCCACACGCCTAGAGCCTGTGCTCTGCAACAAGAGAAGCCACCGCAATGAGAAGCCCGCACATCGCAACGAAGAGTAGCCGCAGCTAGAGAAAGCCCGTACGCAACAGCAAAGACCCAACTCAGCCAAGAATAAATAAACAAATAAATTTATTTTTATAAAAAACAAAACAAAACAGGTGGCAGGCTAGATTTGGCCTGTGTGCCATTGTTTGCTGACCCCCCGCTCTAGGCAATAGGGAGCCCTTGAAGGTTCTTGAGTAGACCTGACATGACCAGAGAAGGGGTGGGAAGCTTTTTATTGAGCATTTATTCTATGACAGCCATCTTGCTAAGCATCTGACTGGAGTCTAATGACTTGGGCTAAGATCCTAGGTCTGCCACTTAATGGCTGTTGAGGATTAAAAGAGGTGAACAGCAAGGGGGAGGATTTTATTCACCAGGACCACTGTGTCCAGCTTCCTGGAAAGTGAGAGAAAAAACTTCCAGCATAGGAGGCAGAGCAAGTTTTCTAGGGGAGCGGTGGGTGAGAAATTAGACTAGAAGAGCAGCCTGGGAGCAAGGGCATCATATGTAGGGGGAGAGGCTGTGAGGGCTGGGGCTTTGGGAAGTCTTGAGGGGAACAGAGAAAGAGCAAATCTTTTTCTGAAGCTACTAAGCAACAGATAGAAGAACTTGAGAATGAGAAATGCCCAAAGAGGTCTTCAAAGAGCTTTTCTGTGCACTGAGAATGTGTTTTTCCTTTGGCATTTTCTTGAGAAACCAAGTAAACATTTGAATAGCTCCTTTTTTTGCGGGGGGGGGGATAGCTCTTATTTATGATTTTATGCAATAATGCTGTTTCTTTGAGTTCAGTTACCAAGCAGACAGTGGGCAGCATGAGGCCCTAGTTATGTTCGGTTACACGTGTAAAGTCCCTGGTACATAGTACGTGCTCAATACACGTTAGATGGTATTAGTACCTTTTTTTAAAAAATTTATTTATTTTATTTTTGGCTGCATTGGGTCTTCATTGCTGCGCGCGGGCTTTCTCTAGTTGTGGCAAGCGGGGGCTACTCTTCGTTGCGGTGTGCAGGCTTCTCATTGCGGTGGCTTCTCTTGTTGCGAAGCATGCTATCTAGGCGCGTGGGCTCCAGTAATTGTGGCGCATGGACTCATTAGTTGTGGTTCACGGGCTCTAGAGCGCAGGCTCAGTAGTTGTGGTGCACAGGCTTAGTTGCTCCGCGGCATGTGGGATCTTCCCGGACCAGGGCTCGAACCTGTGTCCCCTGCATTGGCAGGCAGATTCTTAACCACTGCACCATCAGGGAAGTCCTATTAGTACCTTTTTGATCAAGGTCAATTTGGCCATCCAGAGACTCTCTTCCCCCTTCAGTGGAATAGGAAGCCAAGGCTTTGGAAGGCTAAGCTTTCATAATCAATGATAAAGATCATCTCCGAGAGATTTGGGATAGGAGGGTGCTGGCTGTCATCTCACCCGAACCCCACACTCTAAGTGAAATGGTTAATGTCAATATTAAGAGGCAGCGTTGGAGGGAGAGAGCAGAGGCAGGTCACCAAAGCATTAACATGCACTGTGGGCAAGGGTGCTATTCGAAGGAAGAATGAGTGGGACAGTGTGGGGAGGGATGTGTGAGAACCTCCCAGCCTCCCAGCCTCCGGGCTGTGAGCTTCAGAATCCCTCCCCTTCCGCATACACTCTGCAACAAACAGCAGCGGATCAGAATTGGGCAGGGAGGAGGTCACATCAGGATTTATTTGGGAGAAGAGTTCATTCAGAAGGAACCAGTATGACACCCCTTGACACAAGTGTAACTAATAAACATATTTTCAGTGCTACAGAGGTTCTTACTGCCCACCTGGCACAGATCCAAGGGTCAGGAAGCCCATAGTGACCTGTCTCAAGGGAGTAGGGCCCGGCTCAGGTACGGAGTGCTCCCTGTGTGCCCACATTGTGTGAGGCACTCTATAGAGGCTATCACTTATCCTGAAAATACTTCCTGGCAACTAACCAGGTGGCATTGTCCCCATCTGACAGATGAGGAGCCTGAGGCCCAGAGAGGCAAAGGCCTTGTCTAAGCTCACTCGCTACCAGGTGGTTGCTCCAGGAAATCCGAGGGCTTTCACTGCACCCCAGCACCCTCCCATGCAGGAAGCGTCTCAGCGTGTGCACTGTGGCACCATCCTCACTCAGCTATCCCAGATGAGCCACCTGTTTTCAAAACAAATTCTGTACACACAACCCTGGAACTGTGCTGGAGAGAATATACTCACCCTCCTGGATGATTTTCCATATGTAAATAAGCCTAGTCATATTGGAGAGGCACACCCAGGCCACTGAAGCCAAAAATACAGCCCCCAGTACTGATAGCTTCCACTGTTTGGGGAAAATGAAAAAACCCATTTGAGAAACACAGGAGATATTGCCAGCATTTGTTATAGGAAGTGTTTAAGATCCCTCCTTGGGGTTGGAAGCAAAAAGCATTCTTTAAATCCTCTATTCCTTTTATATAACTCATGGAAAAATCTTACCTTCCTGTTACAGAAGGTCTAAGGGGTGAGATGGGTAACTTCGCAACCTCCATCGCACTCACTAGAGGCTATTTTGCCATGATGCTTTTCTGTCATTTGGGGATTTAAGGGGTTTAACCACAAGGGTGCCGAGTTGCAGAATTTGTAGTCACAGGTTCAGAGCTGACAATGAAGACGAGTAATTTCTAGGTGGCTGAGAAGCAGCACCAAAGCTGGAAAGAGGGTTTTTCATGGCTTCTAAAGGCTGTGGGCTTTAGCCCTGGGGATATTGGGAGGGCGGCACTTCTGGACAAAAGCTGTGTCTTTCAGCCAGGCTCCTTCCCTTTCTGGAGCTTCACTACCGTCATTGGTAAAATCGGCAGGGTCTGGTAGGTGTACTTAAGCCTCCCTCCAACCCCAACAGAAAATCAGAATCAAGAAGAAAATGGATTATGGAGACCCTTGGTGAAGTGTGAAAATGAACAACAGATGAGATAATAGTACTGTATTAATGCTAAATGTCCTGATGTTGGTAATTTTACTGTGGTTATGTAAGAGAATCTCCTTGTCCTTAGGAAATACACACTGAGGTCCTTGGCTGTTAAAGGAGATGGTTTCTTCAACTTACTTTCAAATGATTTAGAAATATATTGTGTGTATATTTAGAAGAGCAAAGCATATATAGCAAAATGATAACAACTGGCGAATCTGGGTGAAGGGTACTTAGGAGTTCTTTGAACCATTCTTGCAATTTTTTTTTTTTTTTCCAATTTGAAAGCAGTCACTGTTTATTAACTGACCAGATTACAAAAATAATGATGGTAGATACCTTAGTTCATCCTTCATTCTTGTAACTTTTAAAAAATTATTTTAAATTGTATAATACACATAAAACTTACCCTCACAGCCATTTTTAAATATGTTTTTAAGTTCAGTGGCATTAAGTACATTCACACTGTTGTTCAACCATCATCACAGCCATCTCCAGATCTCTTGTCATCTTATCAAAGTGAACCTGTGTACCCATTAAACAATGACTCCTCACTCCCCACTCCCCTCTGCCAGCTCTTGGCAACCACTGTTTTACTTTGTCTATGAATCTGACTACTTTACATACCTTAAATAAGTGGAATTATACAATATTTGTCTTTTTGTAGATGTCTTATTTAGAATAATGTTCTCAAGAATCATCCATGTTGTAGCATGCATCAGAATTTCCTTTTTTTTTTCTTCAGAATTTCCTTCTTTTTAAGGCTAAATAAAATTCCATTGTATGTACAATACATACCACACTTTGTTTATCCCTTCATCTGCTGATGGACATTTAGGTTGCTTCCATCTTTTGGCTATTGTGAATAATGCTGCTATGAACATGGATGTACAAATATCTTTGAGACCCTGCTTTCAATTCTTTTGGTATATACTCAGAAGTGGAATTGCTGGATCATATGGTAATTCCATTTTTAATATTTTGAGGAACTGCCATACTGTTTTCCACACTGGCTGCACTATTCTTGCAATTTTAGTGTGAAATCATTTCAAAATAAAAATTACAACTCTAATTGACTTTATAATTGACTTTGTAATTAGGTGATAATTTATTTTAAAATCTGGTGAGAAGCTCCCTGATATCCAGGGCAAAAGGGGGGAAATGCTTTTTCACTAGAAATGACAATTAAAATGAAGAAGAAAATGGAAGAAGTCAATATAGATTTGTATCAATATGAGCATTAGCCCTGATGATTGTAAAATCTAGCTTTGAGCTCTCTGACAGCCAAGGCAAAAAAAGAAACATAGTATTTCCTTATTTGAAAGGAAGAATCTGCTCAGTCCCTGAGGAGAGTAACAAAATTTCTCACCCAAGGAGGGTAGGGAAGTTTGTCTTCACTCCCTTCTTTCAAATGGGCCTCCTGGGCTTCCCTGGTGGCGCAGTGGTTGAGAGTCCGCCTGCCGATTCAGGGGACTACGGGTTCGTACCCCGGTCTGGGTAGATCCCACTTGTCGCGGAGCGGCTGGGCCCAGTGAGCCATGGCCGCTAAGCATGCGCGTCCGGAGCCTGTGCTCCACAACGGGAGAGGCCACAACAGTGAGAGGCCCGCGTACCGCAAAAAAAAAAAAAAGTGCCTCCTACCTATTTTACTGCGAGCTACCTTCTCCCAGCGTACTTTAAATTAGGGGCCTGTTTCTACTTGGCTCTGGACTTCTTGGCCTCGGGTCCCTTCTGGCACCACAAAGTTAGTATCTAGAATGGTTGGCTGCCGGTGAGGGCTGTTCCCCCTTTGCTCCCTTATCACGTTTATCACATGGAAGGAGGTGGACTCATGGTCTTTAAGTCTTAACAACACTGACCATCTATGATTTTAATGGTTAGAAACTGAGACCATATCTTTTCCTGAGAGCAGGTTTTTATCTTGAAAGATACTGTCAGAAAGTCCTTCTTCCGGTCATAACTTAAAACTCATGCTACTGTGCAAGAGTTTTTCTTGTTTTGTGTGGAGATGGAGAGGAATTGCTCATTGCTCTTCTGGAAGCCTCTTCCCCATAAAGCCAGACCTTCTCCCGTCCTTCTGTCTGATCTCACGGACATCACAGGGCAGAAGGAGCAGGATAACGAGCAGGAGTTCTGGATTTAGGCTGCTCTGCTTCCGACCAGCTGCGTCACAGCAGGCAAGCAACTGCTCTTTGCCTCAGTTTCCCCATCTGTAACATGGGAATAATAAAAGCATCTGTTTCATAAAGTCATGAAGATTAACTTAAATAGTCCATATAAAACACTAAATTCAGAGTCTGACTCTCAGAAAGCAAAAACCTGGGGTGGGAGAAAAAAGGGGACCCAGGGACAAAATGATACAGACAGTAGGTCTGTGAGACTTGCAGACCGACCTGGAGGCCAGCCCTGCCCACAGAGTTGAAATAGAAGAGTCCCACATATGGACATTTCTCAGTTTAACAGATCACAGCAGCTGGGGGATTTGCACATGTAAAATGCTCTCACCGGTGAATCATTCTGCATTTGCACATTGCTCTATTATCATACACAACTTATCAGCTTCGATGATTACCAGCTCATGCGGTCCTCTGCCTTTTTGAGAGGAGAGCCCTGGACCTGCTGGCTGCCTATCTCCTCCTCCTCCCTTTATGCCAGTGCTTGTCTTCTGTCCCTTAGCTGCCAGGCTCCTGGCATCTCCATTAGATAGGGAAGCATATGGGAACTGGAAGGACTGAACTAAAATCTAGATGACTTCAACCGGTATATCTCCAATTAGCAGACATGCTGTAGGAAGAGAGAGCTGGTCAGGTTTTAGAGATACAGCACCAAACCGAACCAAAGTCCTTGGCATCAAGGAGCTTACATTCCGGGTCAGTGGTTAAAGAACACAAGAAAAATCAGGGAATCTGGGGGATGGAGGTGGGTTAGAGGTTACTACGTTGTAAAGGATAGTCAGGGAAGGCTTCTCTAAGACCGTGATATTGATGAGTACAGGAAGTGAGGGGATGAGCCATGCAGATATCGGGGCAAGAGTGTTCCAGGCAGAGAGAGAGCACATTCAAGCATAACAGCAAGAAGGCTGGTGTGGCTGGAATGGAGTCAAAGGAGAGAGAAATTGAAAGAGGGCAAGGGCAGACAGGGACTGGAGGCCAGCTCATGATCATGTGAAGGGAGCCTCTGGAAAGTTCTTAGCAGAGGAGTGATATGATCTGGCTACAGACTTGGGGTTTAAGCATGAGGGTGGCATGGGGAGATGGGGGTGGGGGACAGTTGGGAAGCCAGTGCCATAATCCAAGTAGGAGATTACGGTGGCTCAGATCACCATATTGATTGTGGTGGTGTCTCGATGGGGCTGATCGTGGACATATTTCGATGGTAGAATCGATCAGGGTTTGCTAAAGGACTGAATGTTAGGAATGAGAAAGAGGGACTAAGGATAACTCCAAAGATTTTGGTTTGAGCAAGTGGAAGGATGGAGTAGCCATTCCCTGAGACAGAGAAGACTGTAGCAGAAGTACATTTAGGGGTGAATATCAGGAGTGTGGTTTTTAGCAGTTAAAAAAAAAAAAAGGATTTAAGGATGATGTGAGAACACACGTAAAGCAGTTGTACCACCACCTGGCACTTCATGCACACTCATGCAAGGTTAGTATTATCCCCATTTTCACACAGCTGGTTTGGTAGAAGAGCCAGAATTCAAACCTGGGCCTGTTTGGCTCCAAACCTCAGTTTGTTTCTCTTCTTAAACATCCTGTCTTCCATGATCCCTTGTCCTTAAGGTTTCATGTTGATACTGTCAGAAAGTTCTTCCTCCTGTTTAATGGCAGTCTGTCCTATTGCAGTTAGAGCCTGACCCTTTGTTTGGGACTCTTGGGTTATGTCAAGTGAAGTCGGCAAGATCCTGTTTTGCGTGGTGAAGCAGGAGGCACCCATGAGCTATTTGCCTCTTCAAGCGTTATTGGTAGCGCCGTGAAATTTAAATTCCCTTTTCATAGGTCTTCATCACAAGAAAGGTCATTTAAAACTTCACTGGCGGGCTTCCCTGGTGGCGCAGTGGTTGGGAGTCTGCCTGCGGATGCAGGGGACACGGGTTCGTGGCCCGGTCTGGGAAGATCCCACATGCCGCGGAGTGGCTGGGCCCGTGAGCCATGGCCGCTGAGCCTGCGCGTCTGGAGCCTGTGCTCTGCAAACTTCACTGGCATCAAGTAATTCCTAAAACATGCTTTAAAAATATAGACAGACAGGTAGTAGGTAGGTAGGTAGATATTTATCTATATAAATATTAGAAAAATTCTAAAAATTTTTTTCATAATCCCCAATTTTAAAATGTATATAATGAGAATTGAAACATTTCTACTATTTCACCCATCTAATCTCATCTCCCAAGGATAACTTGACTAACAGTTTGGTACGTAACCTTCTCAAAGTTCACATACTCATACCCATTTCCTTATTTATTATTTTAACCAAAAAAAAAGGAAGAAGCTATACCAGCTCTGTCCAATAGAATTTTCTGCAATGATGACAATGTTCTATCATACATGTCCACCAGCCATATATGGCTACTGGGCACTTGAAATGTGGCTAATGTGACTGAAGACTGAATTTTTAATTTTAAGTAATTTAAATAGCTATAGGTAGGTAGTGGCCACCATAATGGACAGCACAGTGTTATACATTTTGGATTTTTTACTTAGAGTATCATGGACATTTCTTTTTTGTTTAATTTTATAAATTTTGAAATCATCTCACAGAAAAGTTGCAGTTACAATACAAAAAAGCCATTTGAGAGTAAGTTGGGACCGGATGCATCAGCACATCCAAATAATTTAGTGTTTATTTCCTCAAACAAGGACATTCTCTTATGTAACCACAACCATCAAAATCAAGAAATTATCACTGACACATTACAGCCATCGAATCCTCAGGGCCCATCCACATGTTGCCAGTTGTCCCAATAACATCCTTTATAGCAAAGGATCCAGTTCACGATCGTGCAGTACACTTAGTTGGCATGCCTCTTTGGTTTCCTTCTATCTGATATAGTTCTCAACCTTTCTTTGACATTCATGACCTTGATACTTTTGAAGATTATAGACCAGTTATTTTGTAGAGTGTTCCTTCTACAAGAAAGGGCCTGTTTGATGTTTTCTCATGGTTCGATTTAGGTTATGCATCTTCGGCAGGAAATCCCAGAAGTGATGCTGTGTTCTTCCCATTGGATGTTATCAGGTGGTGCAAGATTTCAATTTGTCCCATTACTGGTGGTAACTTATTATTGGATGAAAATGGTGTCTCCACTGTAAAGTTACTCTTGTTGTTTATTTCCTTTTCATTTTAAAATGTATGTATGCTGTTAAAAAAAAACCCCACATAACATGAAATTTACCATCTTAACCATTTCTACGTGTATAGTTCAAGAGTGTTGAGTATATTCACATTGTGAGAGAGATCTCCAGAACTTTTTCATCTTGCAAATCTGAAACTCTGTACCCACTAAACAACTCCCCTTTCCCCCTCCCCCCAGCCCCTGGTAAGCACCCTTCTACTTTCTGTCTCTATGAACTTGACAACTTTTGACACCTCATATAAGCAGAATCATACAGTCTTTGTCTTTTTGTGCCTGGCTTATTTCACTTAGCACAATGTCCTCAAGGTTCATCCCAGTTGTAGCATGTGTCAGGATTTCTTGCTTTTTTAAGGCTAAATAATATTCCATGGCATGTATATACCACATTTTGTTTATCCATTCATCTGTTGATGGAAATTTGGGTTCCACCTCTTGGCTTTTGTGATAGTGCTGCTATGAACATGGATATGCAAACATCTCTTTCAGACCTGTTTTCAAATTTCTTGGATGTATATCCAGAAGTGGGACTGCTGGGTCATATGGTGGTTCTAGTTTTGATTTTTTTGAGAAACTGTCATCCTGTTTTCCATAGCAGTTGCACCATTTTACAATCCCACCAACAGTGAACAAGGGTTGCAATTTCTCCAGATCCTTGTCGACACTTGTCGTTCTGTTCTTGTTAGTAGCCATCCTAATGGGTATGAGTTGACATCTCATTGTGGTTTTGATTTGCATTTCTCTAATTATTAGTGAGGTTGAGCATCTTTTCATATGCTTGATGGCCATCTGTATGTCATCTTTGGAAGAATGTCTATTCAGGTCGTCAATTTAATTGGATTTTTTTGTTGTCAGAGTTTTTTATATATTCTAGATGTATCAAGATATACGATTTGCAAGTATTTTCTCCCATTCCATAGGTTGCCATTTCACTCTGTTGAGCATGTCTTATTCCCTTTTAATAGGTATTTTGTGAGGAGGTGCTTTGGAACTATGTAAATATTCCCTTCCTTATCATACTTTCCGTTTATTTATTCATTTACTTATATCAGCATTGGACTCATGGCTTCCTATTTTATTCAGTGTATTTGTTCTTATCATTTCCTATTTTGATGCACAAACTGCCACAGATTAGGCCGATGGAAGCCACTTCAAGCTGGCTTCTGGGGTCCTTCTGACATGTTCCTATCATTCTCTGAGGCACTTTCTTGTTTTCTGCTGCCACGGGATATTCCAGGATGATCTCGTACTTTCCTGTTGCAGCCCTGGAATTAACCATTTCTCCAGGGCCCCTGCTTCCTTTTAATAGAGAATGGAATTTAGAAGCTTCTGGCCCAGGCTCTGCTGCTGAACTCTGTGGCTTTGAAAAGCCCAGCATGTGATCTGGAGAGGCATACCTCATCAACCAGCCAGAACAAACCCCTCATTTACAGAGGGGGGGACTGAGGCTCAGAGGGGATCAGGTGGCCAATGTTCCCTAGCTCGTGAGACAGCTCAGACGTGAGCTGAGGCCTCTGACTCCCTTCCAGTGCTCTTTCCCTGGCAATACATGTTATTTATGAGGTGTGACCCCGGTGGGGCCTGTCCCCTCTCTGGACTTCACTTTCCTCTTCTGTCCACTGAGGGTTAGTTTTGCCTGGGGGTCCAAGACTGCCTTTCTGAGAGCTAACCTTTTCTCTTTAACTCTTCATGAGCCTACCTTCCCCCCACCCCCCAGACCTTTATGGATGACTCCACCTTTAATTACAGAGAGCTTCAGCTTTTATCTCCAGCTCTGGTGGATTGGGGTTGCAGACTAGTCCTAGCCTGGGAATGAGCTGTCCAAATGCACCTGGTTCTCCCATTCCAGGCCAGGGGTTCCAGGCATATGTGCCTCCCTGAAGCCCATCTCCGTCAGCTAACACCTGTCTCATAGGGGCATCAACAGAAGAAGATGGCAATGGGAAGGGCCTCCTCTACCTGCCCTCACTGGCTCCCAGCCCACCCATATTATACAAAGAGCACCCAGGGAAGCACCAGAAATGCCACCTCCCCACATTTCGAGGCCAGTGTCTCTTGAGCTTCACTCTCAAAGCTGGGTGTAAGAAACCCTCTGGTATTCCATTAGAGAATATTTGATGCCTGATTGGGGTGCGTGGTGCTGCATCCAACCTTCACCCTCTGGTTTGGTCAGCTGATAGGAACCGCCAGCCTGGGAACCCGACTATTCAACTGATGACGGCAGCAGCTACACCATACAACTGTCTGAAAAGCTGAGCTTTTGGCTCTTTTGTATTCAACGGACATTTCCTACGCACCTACTATGTGTCAGGCATTGTGCTGCACCCTGCGGTAAGACGATTTAAGCCAGAGCTCAATCCAGTAGTTTCAGGTAACAATGACAGTACAAGTGGGTTCCATATGTCGATACAAGAGGCATAAGTAGGGGCTGCAAGGGAAAGGGCCTAACTTCTGACATTTGGTTCTGGAGTGTCAGGTTCTTGTAGGCAAGGCTGTATACAAAATTTGAGAGGGCAACAAAGAATGATTTTGCTAGATGAAAAAATTGGAAAGGGGGGCTTCCCTGGTGGCACAGTGGTTAAGAATCGCCTGCCAATGCAGGGGACTCGGGTTCGAGCCCCGGTCCAGGAAGATCCCACGTGCCGCGGAGCAACTAAGCCCATGCGCCACAACTACTGAGCCTGTGCTTTAGAACCTGCGAGCCACAACTACTAAGTCCGCACGCCCAGAGCCCGTGCTCCGCAAGAGAAGCCCGCGCACCACAATGAAGAGCAGCCCCCGCTCGCCGCCAACTAGAGAAAGCCTGCGTGCAACAACAAAGACCCAATGCAGCCAGAAATAAATATATAAAATAAATCGATAAAAAAAAAAAAAAAGAAAAACGTGGGAAGGGCGCTATGGGCGGAAGGAATAGCTTAAGTAAAGCTGGAATCACCGAAGCGCAGAACTAGTTACCTAGAACAACAAGGCACATCGCTGGGGGTAGCGGGGCTAATGTCTAAGCAACGGAAGGCATCGTAAGACATGACACTTCAGATACCTCAGAGCCCAGGCATGAAGGGTGTGGACACTATGCTTCTATGGAGACTTCATTAAGGTTTTCAAAATAACATTTATTTCTTAAAAGTTAACATGTGCATAATAGGAAACCAAAGAACACAAGAAGCAAAAAACAGTCATTTATCATCACAAGCAATTTACCATTTGATGTGTCCTTCTAGGTCTCGTTTGTGTATTTAAACACAACTAAGCATTCATTTTTATGTAATTAAGATCATACAGTTATGTATCATGCTTTTTCACACATCATGAATATTTACCATTTCAAAGTCCCAAAGCTATGAGTATTTTGATAACCAAAAATACACTACACCAACTCAATCTGGAAGGAAAAAAATGTAATCCTTTCTTGGCGACAAAAACTTCAGAAAAGACAAAAATGGCAACAGGCCTCTAGATAAAGATATTGGCAGAGTTATGATTAAAATACTACATTCCCTTAACGGTCAATTAAAAATGAGACATAAAGCAACAGAGTACCCAAAGTATAATGCTTTTAAGAGGATTCATTATCTGATCTAAACTATTAAAGTATTAGCAAGGAGGTATATTTCCACTGAATTACTTAACAATGTATTCCTATAGTACAGCTAAGAGATGCACACACATCAATGGTTATCATCAAAATATAAAAAGGAATACATCCACATACTTCCCTCCCTTTTATACTTCCTTCTGCCCCTCTGCTGCCAACCTAATGAACAAGTCCTGGTGTACATTTCTCAGATGGTTTAACAATTCCATGTCCAAGATGCTACTTTTTTACCAATTATAACAAAGATATTTACAAATTGGTTAATTCACTAGCTCTACTTTTTATCATACATTGTCACCTCAGGACTCCTAAAAAGCCTAGATGTTGCAAAATAATGAATGAACCTTGTCCATAGTAAGCATTGGTACTTTACAAAAATGCACATTTAGACCTATGGTTATAACCTAAAACTGTCTTCTAGATATGGAGATATTAGCTAAGAGCCCTTCCCTTCACCCTTCCTCTCACCCATCCTCCAGCATATCAGCAACTAAGTACAGGACTATATCTAGCTCCAAGAGGTGGATTAACATAGACGCTCCCAGAAGACACAGCCCTTCCTAAAAACCAACAAAAGGGCATTTATTAAGGGGTTATTTTACTACCTCTACTTTTAATATACTTTGGGCATTAGGACTTGCTTATTCTTTAATACACAGCAATATTAACTAAAACACACAAATAAAACAATGGTTAGACAATCTGAACTTGTCTAAAGACTCATGGGCACAGATCCCTTCTCTGTACTTCCTTCCCTGTCTGCTCCCCGCCTCCCCACCACCCAGTGAATAGTCAGCTTACGCTCCAAGACTCAAGTTTAACAATTTCCACTCCCCCAATACAACCATTCCTATGAATTAACAGAAAAAAAATACTTTAAAAGGTGTTACTTTTAACTCTCTATTTTCAACATATGTTGTGTACTTTTACACATCTAGAAAGATTAGATGTTTCAAATACAGATTTAAGTTTGTCCACTATGTATACACGTAGTAGCACTGAAGAAACTGCACACAAAGGCTATAGTCACAAAGTGTCTCCTAAACAGGAACACTCTGGCCTAGAAGCTTCCCCTTCTCATCTCTATCAACCCGGTGGACAAGAATAAGCATCTGTAATGCTTAGAGGGGATTTTAACAATTTTACTTCCTCCAGTTGTTTTCAGAAGTCTTTCCTATGAATTTTAACACAAAGTGTACACAATGTATTTATCGGCTATTTTTGTCATACACTGGCAACCTCTTTAACATCTAGGAAGACTAGATGTTGTAAATTTGGACCCTCTGTCCTTTATGTACACTATGTACACAGCCAAGTAAAACAAAATGCAGAGACACACCAGACAATGGTTAGTCTTGGTATAAAGCCCTTTACACTTTCTTCTTTCTCCCTGAACCAGCACAAATAAAATAATGTGTACTGCTCAGAGAGGTGGTTTGATCATTTTGATCACTCCATTTCTAAAAGACAGTATTTCATATGAATTTTAACAAAAGGATATATCTACAAAATATGTTACTTCACTACCTCTACTTTTAACATACTTTGTGCACTTCTAAACATCTAGAAAGACTAGATGTTTCAAATAAGGACTAAAGTTTGTCCACTATATACACAGTAGTGTTGAATAAACTACACACATGTAACAATGGTTAGATCTGAAAGTGTCTTCTACATAGGGACATTCTAATCTAGAACACTTCATTTCTCCCAGTACCTCCTTTCTGCCATCCATCCAACATTGGGCAAGTACAGGCACAGGTGTCAGGCGCAGGTGTCACTTAGATGTGATTTACAATTTCACTTCCAAAGGCCCTTTTCAGAAGACGGCTTTTCAATGAATTTTAACACAAAGTGTACAAAATGTGTTAGTTTACTAACTCTACTTTTGTCATACATTGGCAACCTCTTTAATATCTAGAGACTAGATATTATAAAATGGGGACCCATTGGTCCAGTATATACAAAATATATACAGTAAAGTTAAACAAAATGCATGTAACATATAGAGCAATGGATAAGTTGAAATGTTCTAGTACCTGCTAGCAAAACATCTTTTGCAATCTTCCCTCCCACCTCCCTAAATCCAATGAACAAGCACAGAGTACTGTTCAGAGAGGAGGTTTAACAATTCCATTTCCAAAGACAGTATTTCCCCAGTTTTTAAAAGCTATTTACAAGAAGCATTATTCTACTAAAACTACTTTTAAATACATCAAGCACTTCTAAACATCTAGAAAGAATAGATATTTCATATAAGAACTTACTTGTCCACTATGTACACAGCACTGTTAAATAAAATTGCACACATGTAACAATGGTTATAATCTGAGGTATCTTCTAAATATGACCATTTTGGCCTGAACCATTTCCTCCCTCACTTCCTTCTCTCCACCACCAATCCAGTGGACAAGTACATGCATATGTAATGCTTAGAGGTGGTTGAACAAATTCATATCCAAAAGTCATTTACAGAGGACAAGCTTTCCTATGAATTTCAATAAAGTATACAAAATGTGCTAATTTTACTATTTTGTCATACACTGGCAACCCCTTTAACGTCTAGAGACTAGATGTTGCAAAACTAGGACTCAATTTGTCCATTATATACACTATATACACAGCAAAACAAAATGAACATACAAAAAATGGTTTTGTCTGAAAATGTCCAGGTATGAACACACTAGCATATTACCTTTTGGAATTCTTTCCCTCCCTCCTCCAAACCACTGAACAAGTATAGGCAATAGTATACTGCTCAGAGAGGTGGTTTAACATTTAACATTCCCAAAGACAGTACTTCCTGTGAATTTTAGCAAAAAGTTATTTACAAAGTGATATTTTACTACATCTACATTTAACATACGTTGGGCACTTCTAAACATCTAGATGGACTAGATGTTTCAAATAAGGACTTAATTTGTCCACTATATACAGAGCAGTACTGAATGAACTGCAGACATGTAACAGTTATAATCTGAAACTGTCTTCAAAATACCAGCATTCTAGCCATTCTAAGACCAACCCCCTTCTCTCTCTCTCCCCTCCACCAACCCAGAGGGCTATCACGCTCAAATTTTCAGAAGACAATCTTTCCTAGAAATTTTAACACAAAGTGTACAAAATGTATTATTTACTAACTCTATTTTTGTCATACACTGGCAACCTCTTTAACATCTAGAAAGACTAGATGTTGTAAATTAGGACTCATTTGTCCATTATATACACTATATACACAGCAAAGTGAAACAAAATGCGAGAACATAAAAAAGACAATGGTTAATCTTGCCTCACTATAAACACACTGGCACAGAGCTCTTTGCACTTCCTTCTCCTCCCCGCGACCTTGAACCAGTGCACAAACAGTGCATACTGCGTACTGTTCAAAAAGGTGGTTTGGCCACCCCTCCCCCCCCACAACATTTCATACGAATTTTAACAAAAAGGTATTTACAAAATGTTTTTTTACTACCTCTACTCTGAACAAATATCAGGCACTTTAGAAGATCTAGAAAGACTAGATATATCAAAAAAGTACTTATTGTCAACTACACATACAGTAGTAAGGAGTAAAATGCACACACAAAACAATGGTTCTAATATGCAAATGTCTTCTAACTGTGACCAGTCTGGCACAGAACCTTCTTTTCTTCCTCCTCAACGTCTTCCATTCCATGTCCTCTAACCCACTGAACAAACGTGGACCTCTGTGGCTCCTGATGTCGCCTCTAGAGGTGGTCAAACAACTCCATTTCGAAAAGTCATTTCCAGAAGACATTTCTTTTCTACGGTTTTTTTAAAGAAACAAATAGGCATTTACAAGACATGTGACTTTAACTCTATCATACGTCGGCAACCTCTTCACATCTAGAAGGCCTATATGTAGCGAAAAGTCTTCTTTCGAAAGGTTGGGGGGAAAGTTGAGAGCAGCTTTTTCATATTATATACACAGGCCTTCTATAAACGGCCAGTAAATCTTCCCAAAGGGTGGCGGGCACTTCCTATTGGCCGCATGTGGTACGTTATTCTACCATTTCTATCTTCCGACATCGAGGTCTTGGTAGAACGACGACCAACCGCCCGATGACCCGCTAACGTTCCACCCGTCGTCGACCGGGGCTCCGCTCACCTTCCGGGCCCGTTAAGGCCTTTGTCCGTCGTTGTCCGGACGAGGTGAGGTCTCGTCCAACTGGGGCAGAGAGGTCACCTCAGGTCCCGGATCCGCGCGGGCTCCAAGGCCTAAGGGTAGCTGAGCTGGCGTCCACGTAGACCCCCCCTTCCCAGGCCCTCGAGGCTCTAACGGCCCTCTGCAGCGTTCCAGTGGCCGCCATTCTTCTCGCCCTGCCACGCCCGACGCCCAAAGGCGCCACGTCCTCGGTGGCCTGCCGGAGGCTTCGCCTGACCCCTGCAGCGTGGGGTCAAGAGACCCGGCGGTGGGCGGGATCTGGGCTCCGAGGGGCCGCCGCCATTAGGTCGCGGAGGTGGGGGTGGGGGAGCAGTTCGTTGCTGCTTCCAGGCTCGGGCCCTGCCAGTGGGCGGCTGCGGCGAGGGCTCTGGGGCTCGGTAAGACACAGCCTGAGCTTGTCCCGGGGGCCCCCCAGTTCACCTGCCGACCAGAGGCCGGAGGGCCTGGAGGGCCCCGGGCTAGAAGGCCGCGATCCGCTTCTCACCGCGCTCTCTGCCGGAACTGACTTGGCACTTCTCTTTGCTGGCTAGAGAAGAGAGGTACCGGAAGTGCCAGCGCGCGGGACCCGCGAGCCAAGGTTCCGGGACTGAAACGTTCCGGCAGGGGGAAGGACGAGGGAGGTGTCACGTGAGGTCCGGACGCCCTCTTGGCTTGCCCTAACAAACAGTAATTTTTCAGGATTCCCTGAGCATGCGTATTTCTCCATTCCCGCACGCCCGCCACTGTTAAGACACTGAGGCTCCTTACAATCTTTCATTCGTTCGCTCATTTACCCCTTATTAATTGAGCACCTACTGTGTGCCACATAATCACTGGGGAATGCAGCAGTGAAGGGGCGCGAAAATTTCCTCCCCCTTGAAATTTACACTATAGTAGGGAAAACAGACAACCCTTAAAATGTGTAAAAGGACAGATGGTGAAAGTGCTACGAAAAAATAAAAGAAGGGGAATATGAGGTGTGAGTGTGAAATGTGGCCACGTGACTTTTGACCAGACATACGGAGGTGAGGGAATGGAGCCATCCAAGGGAATGTTGGGTGGAAGAGCCTTCCTGGCAGAGGGAGCGGCCAGTGTGCAGGCACTGAAGTTGAGGCGTATGGGGCTGGCCTGATAGAGGGACAACAAACAGGCTGGAGCAGAGTGAACAGCAAGAGTGTAGACGTTAAACCACTCACATAATGCGAAAGACGGAAAAGGGAATTTGGTGTATTTTTCTGAGTGAAATGGGAGGCGTTGGAGGGCTTTGCCCTGCAGTATGGAGAAGAGCTGAAGTGGGACCCGAGGTAGAAGAAGCAGGGAGACCTGCTAATAGGCCATTGCTGTCAATGGGGTGAAACAGGATAGTGGCTTGTACCAGGATGATGGCAGCAAAGATGGCAAAACAATGATTGAATTCAGGATAAATGTAAGATCCAGCCTGAAGGTTGCTGATAGACCACATGTGAAGTTGAAAGAGAGGAATTGAGGATGGCTCCAAGGCTTCTGGCCTGAGCAAATAAGGGAGGGAATTGCCATTAAATGAGATGGGAGAAACCATGGAGGAGGGAGTTTTGGGGAGAATATCTTTTTTTTTTTTTTTTTTTTTTTTTGCAGTACGTGGGCCTCCCACTGCTGTGGCCTCTCCCGTTGCGGAGCACAGGCTGCGGACGCGCAGGCTCAGAGGCCATGGCTCACGGGCCCAGCCGCTCCGCGGCATGTGGGATCTTCCCGGACCGGGGCACGAACCCATGTCCCCTGCATCGGCAGGCGGACTCTCAACCACTGCGCCACCAGGGAAGCCCAGGGAGAATATCTTGACTTCAGTTTGGGGCATGGTAAGTTTGAGATGTCTGTTTGACATTCACCTGGAGATGTCAACTAGATAACTGTATTTGTGAGTCTGGCATTCAGGGGAGAGTTGGAGTTGGATATATACTTTTGGGAGTCATCAGTATACAGATCCCTTTAAAGCTATGAGGCTGCATGAGAGAACCAAGGGTGTATGCAAAGAGAGAGAGAGGTCTCAGGCCTGAGCTCTGGGGCACTGTAATGTGTAGAGATGAGGGCAATGAGAAAGAACCAGCAAAGGAGACTGAGGAGTGACCAGAGTGGTAGGAGAACAACCACAGAATGTGGTATCGGGAAGTAAATGTGTTTCAAGGGAGACTGCTGATAGGTCATGTAAGATATGGTTGAGAAGTATGCTTTTAGCTTTTATAATAAATGCCGTGAGGAACTTTCTTGTGGATTTTCAAACTTTGTGGAGGCTTTCTGATTTCCTTTGGATGCAATTCTAGAAATGTAAAGAAGGATCAAAGCCTTGGTTCAGGCTTAAGACTTTTGATGCAGACCCAGACAGGATTCCCAGGCGGGAAATCCTACAGTCAGAAAGACCCCTCTGCTAGAAGGCGGAAAGCAGGAGTGGTGAGAAGGCCAGGAGCTCTGGGCACTGTGGCTCTAGTCCGCAATGAGATGACAAAGGCCTGAGCCATAGGAGTGGCTACCAGAGTAGAAAACAGGTGGGGTGAGGGTTTCTAGCTTTGCAAAGGAAAGCGCCCCTGAGCTCCATACCTGGAGAGAAGAGGGAGGAGGGGAAGGAGGAGCCACAGATCACAGGGTTTCAAACAAGGACTGGCTGGCTTTGTGGTTGATTGGAACAATAACCAAGACAAGAAGAAGGAAGGTCTCAGTGTGGAGTTCTTGGTCCCATTTCTGATCTCCCACCCTTCTAAGCAGTCAACAGCCTGGTATTGCTGGAACCTAAAGGTGATGATGGCAACCATGTACGTATCCTACTTTCTACTTGATATCTCTAGTTGAATGTTCCAACAGTATTTTAAACTCCTGTTGTGCAAAACAAAACTCTTGGGATTTTCCTGGTGGTCCAGTGGTTAAGACTCCATGCTCCCAATGCAGGGGGCCCAGTTTCAATCCCTGGTCAGGGAACTAGATCCCACACACCACAGAGAAGATCCCACATGCCGCAACTAAGACCCGGCACAGCCAAATAAATAAATAAATATTTAAAAACAAAATGAAACAAAACTCTTGGTATCTCCCCAGAGCCTGCTCTTCTCCAAGTCAGTAAATGGTAGTGTCATTCTCCCAGTTCCCCAATAAAAAAACCGGGCATCGTCCTTGATTCCACTCTCTCTCACTCCCTATCCCCCAACCATCACAAGTTCTATCTTCCTCCTAAATATATTTAAGGTACAGCCAATTTCCTGTGCTGTCCAATATAGTAGCTGCTAGCTACAGGAGGCTATTTTTTTTCTTTTTCTTTTTTTTTAGTATATGCGTTTTTTTTTAACATCTTTATTGAAGTATAATTGCTTTACAATGTTGTGTTAGTTTCTGCTGTATAACAAAGTGAATCAGCTATATGTATACATATATCCCCATTTCCCCTCCCTCTTGCGTCTCCCTCCCACCCTCCCCATCTCACCCCTCTAGGTGGTCACAAAGCACTGAGCTGATCTCCCTGTGCTATGCAGCCGCTTCCCACTAGCTGTCTATTTTACATTTGGTAGTGTATATATGTCAATACTACTCTATCACTTCGTCCCAGCTTACCCTTCCCCCTCCCCGTGTCCTCAAGTCCATTCTCTACATCTGCATCTTTATTCCTGTCCTGCCCCAGGTTCATTAGAACCTTTTTTTTTTTTTTAGATTCCATATATATGTGTTAGCATACGATATTTGTTTTTCTCTTTCTGATTTACTTCACTCTGTATGACAGACTCTAGGTCCATCTACCCAGTAGGCTATTTTTTAAAAATTGAAGTATAGTTGATTTATAATATTGTGTTAGTTTCAGGTGTACAGCAAAGTGATTCAGTTATATATTCATATTATTTGTATACTTTCAGATTATTTTCCATTATAGGTTATTACAAGATATTGAATATTGTTCCCTGTGTTACACTGTAAATCCTTGTTGCTCATCTATTTTATGTATAGCAGTTTGTATCTGTTAATCCCACCCTCCTAATTTATCCCACCACCCCCTCCCTTTTCCCTTTGGTAACCACAAGTCTGTTTTCTATGTCTGTGAGTCTGTTTTTATTTTGTATATAGATTCATTTGTATTATTTTTTAGATTCCACATATAAGTGATACAATATTTGTCTTTCTCTGTCTGACTTACTTCACTTAGTATGATATTCTCTAGGTCCATCCATGTTGCCACAAATGGCAATATTTCATTTATTTTTATGGCTGAGTAATATTCCACTGTATATATCACATCTTCTTAAACCAATCGTCTGTTGATCGGCATTTGGGGTGTTTCCATGTCTTGGCTAGTGTAAATAGTGCTGCTATGAATATTGGGGTGCATGTATCTTTTCGAATTAGAGTTTTTCTCTTTTCCGGGTATATGCCCAGGAGTGGGATCTCTGGATCATATAGTAGCTCTTATTTTTAGTTTTTAAAGGAACCTTCATACTGTTTTTCACAGTGGCTGCACCAATTTACACTCCCACCAACAGTGTAGGAGGATTGCCTTTTCGCTATACCCTCTCCAGCATTTATTATTTGTAGACTTTTTAATGATGGCCATTCTGACGAGTGTGAGGTGATACCTCACTGTGGTTTTGATTTGCATTTCTCTAATAATTAGCAATATTGAGCATCTTTTCATGTGCCTGTTGGCCATCTGTATGTCTTCTTTGGAGAAATGTCTATTTAGGTCTTCTGTCCATTTTTTTGATTGGGTTGTTTGTTTCTTTGTTATTGAGTTGTATGATTTGTTTGTATATTTTGGAAATTAACTACAGGAGGCTATTTAAATTTTAATTAATTAAAATGACATGAAATTAAGAATTCAATTCCTCAGCTGCACCAGCCACATTCTAAGTGCTCAGGGGCCACAGGTGGCTAGTGGCCACTGTATGAGCACAGATATAGAACATTTCCACCATGCAGAAAGTCATAGGACAGTGCTGATCTATAACCTAGTCTAAATCAGCAATATCTCTAGTCTGGGTGACTCTAATAGCCTCTTAATTATTTTTAAAAATATTTATTTATTTATTTGGCTGTGCCGGGTCTTAGTTGCGCCTCATGGGACCTTTTTGGTTGCAGCTTGTGGGCTCTTAGTTGTGGCATGCAGAATCTAGTTCCCTGACCAGGGATCGAACCCGGGCCCCCTGCATTGGGAGTGCGGAGTCTTACCCACTGGGCCATCAGGGAAGTCCTTATCTTCCTTTTAGGGATGAGAGGCAATGTAACTTATCTAGTTCTTAGGAAGAACTAGGATTCTAACCTAGGTCATGTGACTCCAGAGCTCCCTGGGAAGGCACTATAGAGGGTTTAGAGGCCTGAGCACACACCAGCCTGCAGCCACCCATAGTTCAGATTAGAAACAGGGAAATTAAAAAAATTCTTTCTTGAAGGGCTTTCTATTTCAGATCAGGCCAGAGCTTCTAGAGCATCACTCCTTAACCAGGAGGTAGATTCAGGGCCTTGGTCAGGGCTCAGGATCGTGCAGAGTAGGGCAAGCTAAATACTCCAGTTCAATGCTGAGCATCCTCAGTGGGGCTGGGGGACTGGTCTGCAGACCTCAGGCAAGACTCTGAGCCAGGAG